CTCCATTACTCCAGGCCTGAGGTGAGGCAGGTGAATGTGCAAGGTGGAAGAAAGCTGCTCAGCTCACAGCATCCATTAAGCAGAGGGTGGGGTAAGGGTACCAGGGAACAATATAGTTCCCAAGGGCACACCCCCAAAGGAGTCACTTCATTCAAATTGGCCCTGCTTCCTACCATGGCCACCGCCTCTCCATACTCCAATTAGCTATGAGTCCATCAATGGGTCAACTCTCTGGTGATGTCAGAGCTGTCATGATCCAATCACTTCCCCAAAGCTCCTCTGAACCTTTCTACCCTGTGTCCCCCAGGAATCTTTGGGGGACATTCCAAATCCAAACTTTAGTGATTAATCCCTGAACCCCACATTGTAGTGTGGGAGCATATTCAGGATTCCAAAAGTAGTCAGCTTTGAAGTGCCAGGTTGATACTAAAAATATTTGGTGGGAAAAAAAATTGATGAATAGAACAAAAAGGGTAAAAGAATACAGACAGGTGGAAGAAAGATGTAAGAATGATGGGGAAAAGGAAAGAAGTGTAAAGTAAGCTGCATCTGTATACACATATGGTTGAAACTGGAGTTAGATTAGAAATTACTCAGAGGCTAATTAGTGCTAATTAGAGGCTAATTAGTGGTAGAGCACTTGCCTAGCAAGTGTGAGGTACTAGGTTCAATCCCCAGCACCACCTAAAAAAACTAAACAAAATAAAGGTATTAAAAAACAAGATCATGGTATGCCATAATAATTAATTATCTTTTTATCATGTATTTATAGCTATCAAAAAACAGACAGACAAAATTATCCATATAGGACACAAACACAGAATTAGCACTTTTCATTTTTATGCCAATCACAACAGAGATCTCCCCAAACTAACCAGGTTTGTATGTGTACCTTTCAATAGGCATGGCAAAGTTAGATTCCAAACTTCCCGGTCAGACAAAAGGCATAAGCCCAAATTGGTTCAAAACAACCCAAATTTTCTCAAAAGAGTCCCTTCTTCCCAAATTGGCTCAAAATAAACCAAATTGCTCAAAATATCCCAAAGGACAAGGAAAAAGAAGGACAAGACCCAATGTACACTGTCAGGGAGAACTTACCAGAGGTCAGACTTCAGGGCCCATAGAGTTCAAAAGTTCATTTCTCTGCTTCACCAAGTAAAAAGCATCCATCCTAAGTGGGAAGAAATGGAGAGACCCCCCCCCCAAGAATGTAATTTTAGTAGCTGCACTGATCCCTCTTTTTCTGTTCTCTTCATTCCAGGGGTGTTAGCTCCAAGTGGCTAATGAACAAACTGCATGCTTTCTCCTGGCTGGGCTCACCAAAGCTGCTACTACAGTCCTAGGCCAGGGGCCTCACTCTGGGGATCTAGTAAATCAGGTCTGGTCACTTGCTCCCAAAACCAACAGAAATGGTCATTACCATTGTAAAGGTACAAAAGGAATTTTATTCAGTGTTACTACTCAGGGAAGGCAATGGGACCCTATGGATCAAGAACTCTGAAGGGTTCAGCTACGTTGTAAAGTTCCCTTTGTGTTTTTCACTATTACCTCTTCTGTTTAGTTTTTAGGGTGCGTGGTTGAACCTGATTTACTGGATTCCCAAAGTCAGGTTTCTGGCCTATGACTTTGGTGGCAAGAAAAGCTTTGAAATGAAAGTGAAGAGAAATAAACCTTCCCTCTTTGTAGTTAGGTAAAGTTTAAATTGCCTGAGAGTCTGGGTTTTGAGAATAGGTAGCACGGGACTTTTTAATTATGAGAGAATGATGGAAAAGCTCTAGATCCTAATAAACTCAAATGGGGCAACTCACTGAATGGTCATATAACACAGAACACCTGGAGTCTGATTGGAACCCAGGTCATACATCTCAAAAGCTGTAAATCCTTAACTATAAATCATTAACAACTTTATGAAATTTCATAGTTCTTTTTCAATTTTCAATCAACTAGCTGAATAAGTTAAATACTCTTAAACATTTCTAAAACCAACTTAGAAAAGAATGGGAAGTTAGGTTTTGATCTAATACTTTCAAAGGTAGGGATAACTATCAGGAGAAGATGTGAGGCTATATCTAAGCAAATTAAGGAAGATAACAGAAGAAGTAAAATAGCTTTCTTTCCCTCAGTTTTCCCAGATGAATTCTGAACTCCCTAACTCTCTTACTAACTTCTACCATCTCCTGTATTTCCCATGCTCATTTCCACCAGCAAGCCTTTGGTCCTTGAGATTTCTTATCTGGTTTGCCACACTGTTCTTATGGTATCCAATTGCTACTGGGCCTTTGAGGTTTGGAGTAAGTTCCACCTATTCTATGAAGCTTTCCTTGTCAACTCCTCCCACTATTCTTTTCCACCACTAATTATACACCATAATTCTCAGCAACACATTGGTCTTATTTGACTCCTCAGAAACAGTCACCAGTTCATGTGTCCTTCACTCCTAAGCTTCCATCCAGGAGTTAAAAGGAAGCTGATGTTCCATCTTTTCTGCTCCTCTGATGCTTCTCAGCACTGTCTCTCATATTTCTTGGAACCCAGTTTTCTCTGTGTTCACCCCTTGCCCTACCCCTCAAAGACCCCTATTGCTGCCCTCCCTGAAGATTTCATGTTTCAAAGCTATGTAAATCTCACTTTTAACCCATTCCCACATTCAACCTACCTTTACAATGAAATGAACACTAAGGTGAGACACACTACGAGCCTTTTCTTAAGGCTCTTCCCTAAAGTTTGTAGCAGAAATTTCTAAAAGTTAAGGCCAATTTGGGAGGCATATTTTATCACTACACCTTTCTAAGGCAGGCCAGTCATCAAAATGGAAAGAGGAAAAGAGAGTGTGGGCTCACCTTCCATTTGCCTTTGTGAGAAGAGTTTCCTACTGCTTTGCTTCCTTCTCATCTTCACCTATCTCCCTCCATTTCCTCTGGAAGCTTGGATTCCAGGGTCTGAACTCCATAAAAGGGGAAAGCTATAATATATAGGAGGATCTTATCCCTGGATAATGAATTTTAAAGTCTTCAGGAGGACTTCAGGGCAGTCTTATGCTCCATCCACTTCCTAATTCATTCATCACATTCTTGTTCAACACCATACTAACTGAACAAGGGGGAGGGGGACTGATCCCTGAGATTAAGGAGTTTATGGTGGTGGGGGGGTTGGGTAGTAGATAGTTAAAATGTAAGTCTAGATGAGGGGAATGACAAAGTGCTATTGGAATACATAGAGAGGACAACTAGTTCAATCTTGAGGATATTAAATACAACTACTTAGAGAAAGTGATGGCATGATTGAAGGGAAAGTGAGAAACAAGAAACAGGTACATGAGAAATTAAGGATGGAGAAAAGGCAGATATATACAGGAGAGTTTATCAGAGTTGACAAATAAAAGCCATCTCTGCATAGGAGAGAGAGGCCCCGAGATGTTTGGGTATTCAGCTTTTGTGGGGTAGGGGTTTAGAGTTGTAGTTATGGTGCTATGGGATAGGCTTGGTGGTTCTTGTGTCAGAGGTAGGCAGGTGGAGAATAACATGGGATTGGCTTAGGTCTATGGCACCAAGGGGCTTTCCAGAGCAAAGGGGTCGTGTCCTTCTGGGATTGGCTTAGGGTTATCATGGGGTAGGTCACTAATGAAGTGGGGGGAATTGGGGTAAGAGGAATTACAGGAAAGCGAAACTTTCCTCATAAGATGGCAGTTAACATTTTAAGATGGGGGTTTGAACGTTAAATCAATGCCCTATAATGATGAAACCAAAGTCAATGAGGAATTAGCTAGGGGAAAGTAGTTGAGGAAAGCGTACAAGCAAACTCTTCCTGAAGAAAGAAAATGGCTTATCTTGGAAAATGAAAATGTAGTTCAATCTAAAGGGAACACAGAATCTCATGTGAAAATAAGCTGGAGAAGTGAGACTCAATGTAAATGGGCTTAAAATACTATTTCCTTCTGAAAATGCTTTGATTAAACAAGAAATAAAAACTGGAATCACATATCCAACTGGTTACTATTTAACTTAGTAAACTGAAGCACAGTGACTATTATGGGTATCAGTAAATATCTGTAATTATAGATAGTAGGTTTTCCTGATATATAAAATGGTTATTCTTAATAGTTTAAAGAATTAAAGGGCATCAGTTTTACAATTAGCCATTTGAGAAATAGTATCTTAATGATACAACATAACTTATCTGGTAATATTACACAAGACTAGACAGGTAATAAATAAATAGTAGTGAATAAAGTAAATACTGTATGGTAAAAGTAGTTTAACAGCCATTTCTCCAAAGGAAAACCACAAAAATGGTGTTAATGGTAAAAACAAGATATTATTACTTTCAGCACTCACACATTCTATTATGTATTGGGAACCTGAAAGAAACGTTCATTTTTGGACCAGATAACAAACAATACTATATATTACTGGAATTTTTAACTGCACTAAAAATTGAAAATGGAAATGCTAACGTCTTAGAGAACAGTTCAATAGTATTGCATTGCCTTGTCATGAAGAATGTTTGTGCTTCCACAAAAAAACCTTCGGTTGTTAGGTGATGGGTGGCACCCAAGGTTTCCTCAAATGCTTCAGTTTCTTCATCTACAAAATGTGAGCTGTGGGCTAGCATGTGGATAGGACGCAAAGGCGCCTCCTATCACTGAGTTTAAAATGGGAGGCTCTATCAGTTCTTGAGAAAAAAAAAAATAATGACAACTTCAAAGCAATTCATCTTTCCGTAACAGAAACCAATCTTCTTTCTTTTTTAATCTTCTCTTTATCGAACCTTTGTGGAAAAACTAAATTCAGGAGTAGTAAAAGTAACACTAAACTCTGGAAACCATGTGATGTCTTGTTGCGTGTAAAGCGCGACCAGCGGAAGATACGCACAAAGAGCAAGTATGAACTTCCAGGCACCCGTAGGTCAGAGTATCCAGATCAGGGGCCGGAAGTGAGTGCCGACAGAGGCTTCCTTTCCGGGAACGCGAATTCCCAAGTTCCCTTACTACCTTCAGGAAATCCTTGAGAGTTCGAGGACATGGAGGCAGCGTGCCCTCCCGTGAGGACTGGCAAGTTCGTAGTGGTGGGCGGCGGCATAGCGGGCGTCACGTGTGCCGAGCAGGTGCGGCGGGTGCGCGGGCGGCTCCGCCTCTTCCCCCCCACCCCCTCTCTCGCGACCCCTCCCTGGTGATTCTATGAATCCCGCTTTCGCCCCGCCCTTTACCCCCGGCGTCTTCTGGGTTCCCAGAAGTTAAACTCTGCGTGGTAACTTCCACAGAAAATCCTGAGTACCTCGCAAGCGTCGTCTCGAGGCCAGGGATGAGTGGGAAGCAAATTATTAGCCGAGAATCCAAACCTAGCTGAACCAGTCTCTGGTCCCCGTTATGCCGGGAAAAGAGGGTTTTGTATTTGGACAGAAAATTTCAGCCTGCTTTTTAAATTGTCTTAGCTGGTTACATTTAATTGCTAGACAGGTGCCAACTCCTTAGTATATTGTAACTAATGGATAAAGAAACCCTTTAATAAATATCTTGAACTTTGAATTCCCCAAATAGGAGCGATTTCATCTCCGGTGATGTTTTGTAAAACAACCAGCAGGGATTAAATACAACTAGAGAATTATTTTCTGATTGTAATGAATAACTGAACCATATATATTTATATACCTGTGTGTATTTCAAAAAAAGATGATTTTGATGATACAAAGTAATCACTGAAATAAAATCACTCCATTGTGTTCACTGTTAAATCTTAGGAACGCTTCTGGAGTTGATAGGGAGTGAATTAAAAGAAGAGGTATATTTTTTTCAAAGATGGCTTTTTAGCTCAGTATCAAAGAATGAGTGAAAGTCATCAGATGATATTCCAAAGGAAGGCAACGTTATAATCTGCTTTGGAAAAGCATGACTCCATTTGGAAGCAGCAAAGCTCAGTGCACATGATGCTTTGGGGTGTTGGCCAGAGATTAAAGCATGAAGTTTGGCAAAGACCGGATCATAAAGGATCTTATAAATCATGCTAAGAATTTAGAGAAAAGCTGGTGGCGGTGGCGCAGGCCTGTAATCCCAGCGGCTGCAGGGGCAGAGGCAGGAGGATCCCAAGTTCAAAGCTAGTCTCAGCAATGGGGAGATAATAAGCAACTCAGTGAGACCCTGTCTCTAAATAAAATACAAGAAAGGGCTGGGGATGTGCCTCAGTGGTGGAGTGCCCCTGGTTCAATTCCCAGTACTCCCCTCCCCACCCCACCCCTCAAAAATTTAGAATTTACAAGTAGTCAGGTGATGGTAAGCAGTGGAGTACAGTGATCAAAGAAAAGATCTTGAAAGATGATTTAGTTATAGTGTATTTGGGGCAGTGGCAACTGATTAATACTTTTTTTTTTCAGTAGTATAAAGAAGCCGTGGGTATCTGATGTAGCAATGTAAATAGAGAGGAGATGAATTACAGAATATACACAAGGAAGAAAGATGGAGAGAGTTTTGTCAAATACAATAGAGAATTCAAATAAGGAGAAACTAAGGATCCCATAGATTTTAAGGATTATATATTAGTGGAGTTGAGGAAATAGATTTTGACATATAAATGGTTTAAGTTCAAAGTGAGGAAAAGAGCTTGTAGCTAAAGGAAAATAATTGAACAATAGCAAGTTAAGTCTAAATTTTGTTAAAGCTAATATTAAAATAACTGTGTCTTCTCAGAATATGAACTGGTCAAAATGAGGAAATAGAAGTTCCAAAGCACTTAGGAAAGATGCTAAGTAATATTGACAGTTCAATTTTTTCCCCATAGAAGATGAATGAAAATATTTTAAAATAAATGGGAGTTAATTTTACTCTTAGGTTTATTGTCATCTATATAGCTTTAAAATGGTATACAAAATAGTTTAAAGGATACTTCTTTATATTTTCTTGCTCAGGAATTCTTTGTTAATGTTTAATGTAAATGATACTCATTTTATCAATGTAAGAGTTTAACATTCCTTATTCACTGACTTATAAATATGTACAGGACCCAGAATAACAAAAACCTTTAGATGAGAAATAATTCAGTTTTTAATTTCACTAGTTAATAACATTATTAAAACTGTATTATCCCACCCCCACACACACATACATCATTTTTATAGCAAGACCTAAAGTTATTTATCATGTTTCTCTTTTTCCAAAAATAAGTTGGCGATTAACTTTCCATCAGAAGATATTCTCCTGGTAACAGCTTCTCCTGTTATTAAAGCAGTTACAAATTTCAAGCAGGTGAGAAATTTGTATAACTTTTTTAGTATTAATTTGAAAAAAAACTAAAGTAATATGTGTAGTAGTTAGAATTGGTTTTTCTTTTTTAAAATTGATGAGAAATAATTGTACATATATGTCTTTTTAATATATATACATATATATATATGTATGTATGTATATGTATATATATTTAGTTGTTGATAGACCTTTATTTTATGTATTTATATGTGGTGCTAAGAATTGAACCCAGTGTTTCACACATGCCAGGCAAGCGCTCTACCCCTGAGCCCCAGCCCCAGCCTCACCATGATGTTTTGATGAATGTATACACAGTGTGGGATGACTAAATCAAATTATTTAACTCACTATCATTTTTTTATGATGAGAACAGTTAAAATATATCTTTAGCAAATTCCAAATGTGCAATATATTATTATTATTAATTTTACTGATCAGGATGTGCAACAGATCTCTTGAAATTATTCTTCCTAACTGAAGTTTTGTTTCCTTGATCAAGATCACCATAATGCCTCTACTCCCCAGTCTTCAGTAAACACAATTAGTTTCCACATATAAGTGAGATCATATGGTATGGCTTTCTATTATGCTTATTTCACTAGCATAATGTCCTCCAGGCTAATCCATATTGTCATCTGACAGGATTTCTTCCTTTTTAAAAGCTGAATAGTATTTCATTGTGCGTAAGTAGCACATTGCCTGTACCTGCTTACCCAATGATGAACACTTAGGTTGCTTTCATACTTTGATTGTTGTGAATAATGCTGCAGTGAACATAGAAGGACAAATATCACTAGGAGGTGCTGATTTAATTTCTTTTGTAGATATACTTTCTAGTGGATTGCTATATCATATGTCACTTCTATTTTTTAATTTTTTGAAGAACCTTATTATTTTCCATCAGGCTATACTAATTTACACTTCTGCCAGCATTGTATCAGGGTTTCCTTTTCTCCATATCCTCACCAACACTTTTTATCTTTTGGATAGAAGCCATCCTAACAGGTGTGAAGTAATAATCTCATTTGGGTTTTGATTTTCATTTCCTAAATTAGTGATTTTGAGTACTTTTTTATATATGTTATCTATTTTTATGTCTTCTTTGGAGAAATGGCTGTTCAGGTCTTTTGACCATTTTTAAAATCAGGTTATTAGTTTTCTTACTATGAGTTATTTGGATTCCTGATATATTTTATTTATTAATGCCTTATCACATACATATGGTTTGAAGATATTTTTGACACTCTATAGATTATCTCTTCATCCTGTTGTTTTCTTTTCTGTGCAGAAACTTTTTAGTTTGATATAATTCCATTTGTTTATTTGTAATTTTTTGCCTATGCTTTGAGATCATACCCCAAAATTCCTTCCCCAGATTATATCATGGAGATTTTTCCCCCTATTATTTCTTCTCTTAGTTGTATAGTTTCAATGTTTACCCTAAAGGCTTTGATCTATTTTGACTCAGTTTTTGTGTATGGTGTGAAGTGAGGGTATAATTTTATTTTCTGCATGGGATGTCAGTTTGCCCAATATCGTTTATTGAAAAAAAAATTGTCCTTTCCTCATTTTGTGTTCTTAGCACATTTGTTGAAAATCAGTTAATCATAAGTGTGTGGATTTATTTCTGGGCTCTTGTGTTCCATTGATCTATTTATCTGTTTTTATACCAGTATGATGCTATTTTGATTACTGCACTTTTATGATATAACTTCAGATCAGATAGTTTGATGACTTCAGCTTTATTCTTTCTTGCTCAAGATTCCTCAAGCTGTTTTGGGTCTTTTCTTGTCCTACATGAATTTTAGGATTGTGTTTCTATTTCTATAAAAATGTCAATCAAATTTTGGTAGCGATTGTTGAATTCATAGATGGCTTTGGGTAGTATAGACATTTTTAACAACACTAATTCTGCCATTCCATGAACATGAAATATTTTTTGTTTATGTAAGGTTTTTCAGTTTCTTTCATCAATTTCATGGTTTTTAATATACGTGTGTGTGTATGTGTATATATCTTTGACTTTGTTAAGTTTATTACTAAAGTTGTTTTTAATTTTAAAGTTATTGTAAATGGGATTGTTTTCTTGATTTTTTTCCAGATAGTTTATCATTAGTGTAAAGAAATAGTACTATTTTTATATAATGATTTTCATATGTTGCAACTTTAATGAATATTCTTGTTTCAGTTTTTTGGTGGATTATTTAAGATGTTCTCTGTGTATGATCATTTCATTTGCAAACAGTCAGTTTAGCATCTTTCCAAATTTAAGATGCCTTTTATTTCCCTTGCCTAATTTTTGTGGCTAGGACTAATAGTACCATGGTGAATTGAAACAGTGAAAGTGAGTATTCTTGTCTTGTTTCTCATCTTTCTCCATTGACATCAGTTGTGGGCTTGTCACATATGTACGTTGTGTTTTGTGTATTTCTGTACCTAATTTGTTGATAGTTTTCATCATCAAAGGATGTTGAATTTTGTCAAATGCTTTTTTGTATCTATGAGGTAATCATATGGATTTTTGTCCTTCATTCTGTTAATGTATTATATCATACAGTGTATGTTGAAACATTCTTACATTCCAAGAATAAATTTCATCTGATCATAGTAAAGAATACTTTTAATGTACTGTTGAATTTTATTTGCTAGGATTTTCTGGAGGATTTTTCTATTGATGTGCATCAGGATATTGGCCTATAATTTTCTGTTCTTGTAACTGTCCTTGTCTGGCTTTCGTATTGGATAATGTTGATCTTGCAAAATGAGTTTGGAAGTTTTCTGTCCAAGTTTTTGGAAGAATTACAGACATGTTGATTTTTAGTCCTTAAAATATTTGTAGAATTCAGCAAAGAAGCCGTTAGGTCCCCTGCACTTTTCTTTGATGGGAGATTTTTCATTGCTGATTCAATCATTTTCTATTTCTTCATGATTTTTTCTTAGTAGGTTGTATGTGTCTAAAAATATTTATCTACTCCTAGGTTGTCCAGTTTGTTGGTGGGTCAATTATTTATATAATACTGTCTTTTGATCCTCTGTATTTACAGGTATCAGTTATAAGGCCTCCTATTTTATTTTATATTTTTTATTTGAGCCTTCTCTCTCTTCTTAGTCTAGCTAAAGGTTTGTCAATTCTGCACATATTTTATAATTAAAAGCCAACTTTTAGTTTTGTTGATCTTTTTCATTATTCTCCTAGTCTCTGTTTATTTTTTTTTCTTTTTCTTTTTTCTGCTCTGATTCTTATTAGTTCCTGAAATCTCCCAATTTCAGGCTTAGTTTGTTCTTGTTTTTCTCTTTCCTTTTTTAATTTTATTTTTAAATTTTTGTTAATTCTAATTAGTTATACATGACAGCAAAATGCATTTCAACTCATTGTACACAAATGGAGCACAACTTTTCATTTCTCTGGTTGTACATAATGTAGAGTCATACCATTTGTGCAATCATACATGTTCCTAGGGTAATGATGTCCTTCTTATTCCACCGTCTTTCCTACCCCCATAACCCCTTCCCTCTCCTCATTCCCCTCTGCCCAAACCAAAGTTCCTCCATTCTTTCCATGCCCTCCCCACCCCCATTTTGGATCAGCATCTACTTATCAGAGAAAACATTTGGCCTTTGGTTTTTTGAGATTGGCTACTTACTTAGAATGATATTCTCCAGTTCCATCCATTTACCAGCAAATGCCATCATTTCATTTTTCTTTAAGGTTCAGTAATATTCCATTGTGCATATATAAATAACACAGTTTCTTTATCCATTCATCTACTGCAGGGCATCTAGATTGGTTCCACAGTTTAGCTATTGTGAATTGAGCTGCTATAAACATTAATGTGGCTGTGTCACTGTAATATTCTGATTTTAAGTCCTTTGGTTATAATCTCTAGGATATAAAAAGAACTCAAAAAATTTAACACAAAAAAAAAACCCCAAATAACCCAGTCTGTAAATGGGCTAAGGAAGTGAACAGATGCTTCTCAGAAGAAGATATACAATCGATCGACAAATATATGAAAAAACTTTCAACATCTTTAGTAATTATATAAATGCAAATAAAAATTATTCTTAAAATTTAATCTCACTCCAGTCAGAATGGCAGTTATCAAGAATACAAGCAACAGTAAGTGTTGGTGAGGATGTGAGGGAAAAGGTACACTCATACATTGCTCGTGGGACTGCAAATTGGTGCAGCCATTCTGGAAAGCAGAATGGAGATACCTTACAAAACTTGCAATGAAACCACCATTTGACCCAGCTATCCACTTCTCCATCTATACCCAAAGGACTTTCTCTTTTCTTTGGGTATTACATTGATTTATTGGGGAATTTTTTTTTTTATATGTAGGTATTTATTGCTGTTAACTTGCTGTTAGCAATGCTTTTGCTGTATCCCATAAAGTTTGATAAGTTGTGTTTCCATTTTCATTTGTCCCAAGATATTTTTTAATTTTCCCTTAAATTTCTTCTCTGACCTTGTGTTTCTTTAAGAGCATGCTAATTTTTCAAAATTCCTTCTGTTACTGATTTTTAGTTTCTTACTGTTGTAGTTGGAAAAGATGCTTGATAAAATTGTAGTCTTTCTATTTTGTGCCTATCTTTTGATCTGTCCTGTAGAATGTTCTGCATGCATTTGAGAATGTGTACTGTTTTGCTGTTGGATAAAATGTTCTGTATATGTCAATTAGATCCATTTGATGTAGTTCACTTCAGTATTTTCTTATTGATTTCTATCTAAGTAATCTATCTGCTACTGTGAAAGTGATGTTGAAGAGGCCTACTATTTTTGTATTGCAGTCTCTTTCTTCAGCCCTCAATATCTGCAATGAAATGGTGCCAGGATCTTCCACGTATTCTGAAGTTCCTTATATAATAAAATGGTATAATAGTTTCATGTAACCGATGTATACTCTCCTATATACTTTATATCATCTCTAGATTATTTATAATACCTAATAACAATGTAAATGGTTGTTTCAGTGTATTTCTTCAGGAATAATGAGAAGAAAAAGTCTTTATATGTACATAACAGAGTTTTTTAAAAAAATATTTTCTGTCGGCAATCAGTTAGACCCACATATGTGGAACCTGTGGATACAGAGGGCCAACTATATTTGCTTTATAAATTTAAGTGCTCCAGTTGGGGAAAAACACACACACACACACACACACAAAATATATTGTTATAGTCTGGTGAATTGACTACTTTATTATTAAATAATTACTTTTGTCTTGTTTTTGGTTTTTGACTTAAAGTTTATTTTATCTAAGTATAGCTCCTCCTATCCTATCTCTTGCTTGCCATTTGCTTGAAATCTTTTTTTATCCTTTCACTTTAAATCTATGTGTCCTTATAGGTGCAGTGATTCTCTTATAGGCAGCATATATTTGGGTCTTTGTTTAAACTAAAGCCACTCAAAAAAAAAATTTTTTTCAGAGTTTAGCCTATTTTATTTTCAAGTTAATATCGACAAATAAGGATTTACTGTTGCCATTTTGATAATTGTTTTCTGGCTGTTTTATAGATCTTCTTCCTTTCTTTTTGTCGTCCTTTGTGATTAGATGATTTTTTTCTAATGACATGATATAATTGAACTATAGTTCAAATTACCAGTGCATGATGTTACAAGAACCATTCAAAATGCAGGCGAGGCCAGTGGATTTCAGAATAAGAGAGTGTGAAAAATAATATGATATGGTTTCAAATTCTACATTGCAGCTTTTCATCAAAAAACCATCACTTGATGCTTTTGTGTAACATCATAAAAGAATATATTATCTGAAAATGCAACATATTTGTATAAAGCCTAATTATCTTTATGTATGTCAACTCTGGTTTGAACTTTGGCAATTTATTACAACAGTCTGAGTTAGAGGAAGAATGTAGACAGCAGTTTGAATACAGAAGCAGAAGAGAAGCCATCTTCTATTAAGCCAGACATTAATGAGATTTTCAAAAAAACAGTGTATTTTTCTCAATTTGTTTTGGAAAATATGGTCATTTTTCATTTAAAAATATATCATTTTAACAAGTATTAGATTTATTATGCTTGCTTTTACATGAATTAAGAAATACTTAGAAATTTTTTCAGCTTTAATTTCTAATGTGGCAAATATTGATCTGTGTAATTCATACAATCTGGAACAAGACAGGGATGCCCTCTATCACCACTTCTATTCAATATAGTTCTCGAAACACTGGCCAGAGCAATTAGACGAAAGAAATTAAAGGCATAAAAATAGGAAAAGAAAAATTATCACTATTTGCAGATGACATGATTCTATACCTAGAAGACCCAAAAGGGTCTACAAAGAGACTGCTAGAACTAATAAATGAATTCAGCAAAGTGGCAGGATATAAAATCAACACGCACAAATCAAAGGCATTTCTGTATATCAGCGACAAAACTTCTGAAATGGAAATGAGGAAAAACACCCCATTCACAGTATCCTCAAAAAAAATAAAATACTTGGGAATCAACCTAACAAAAGAGGTGAAAGATTTATACAATGAAAACTACAGAACCCTAAAGAGAGAAATAGAAAAAGATCTTAGAAGATGGAAAAATATACCCTGTTCATGGATAGGCAGAACTAACATCATCAAAATGGCGATATTACCAAAAGTTCTCTATAGGTTCAATGCAATGCCAATCAAAATCCCAACGGCATTTCTTGTAGAAATAGATAAAGCAATCATGAAATGCATATGGAAAAATAAAAGACCCAGAATAGCAAAAGCAACTCTAAGCAGGAAGTGTGAATCAGGCGGCATAGCGATACCAGATTTCAAACTATACTACAGAGCAATAGTAACAAAAACAGCATGGTACTGGTACCAAAACAGGCGGGTGGACCAATGGTACAGAATAGAGGACACAGAGACTAATCCACAAAGTTACAACTATCTTATATTTGATAAAGGGGCTAAAAGCATGCAATGGAGGAAGGATAGCATCTTCAACAAATGGTGCTGGGAAAACTGGAAATCCATATGCAACAAAATGAAACAATCCCCTTCTCTCACCATGCACAAAAGTTAACTCAAAATGGATCAAGGAGCTTGATACCAAATCACAGACTCTGCATCTGATAGAAGAAAAAGTTGGCTCCGATCTACATATTGTGGGGTTGGGCTCCAAATTCCTTAATAGGACACCCATAGCACAAGAGTTAATTACAAGAATCAACAAATGGGACTTACTTAAACTAAAAAGTTTTTTCTCAACAAGAGAAACAATAAGAGAGGTAAATAGGGAGCCTACATCCTGGGAACAAATTTTTACTCCTCACACTTCAGATAGAGCCCTAATATCCAGAGTATACAAAGAACTCAAAAAATTAAACAATAAGATAACAAACGCAATCAACAAATGGGCCAAGGACCTGAACAGACACTTCTCAGAGGAGGACATACAATCAATCAACAAGTACATGAAAAAATGCTCACCATCTCTAGCAGTCAGAGAAATGCAAATCAAAACCACCCTAAGATACCATCTCACTCCAGTAAGATTGGCAGCCATTATGAAGTCAAACAACAACAAGTGCTGGCGAGGATGTGGGGAAAAGGGTACACTTGTACATTGCTGGTGGGGCTGCAAATTGGTGCGGCCAATTTGGAAAGCAGTATGGAGATTCCTTGGAAAGCTGGGAATGGAACCACCATTTGACCCAGCTATTCCCCTTCTTGGACTATTCCCTAAAGACCTTAAAAGAGCGTACTATAGGGATACTGCTACAATGATGTTCATAGCAGCACAATTTACCATAGCTAGACTGTGGAACCAACCTAGATGCCCTTCAATAGATGAATGGATAAAAAAAAAAAATGTGGCATTTATACACAATGGAGTATTATTATGCACTAAAAAATGACAAAAATCATGGAATTTGCAGGGAAATGGATGGCACTAGAGCAGATTATGCCAAGTGAAGCTAGCCAATCCCCAAAAAACAAATGCCAAATGTCATCTTTGATATAAGGATAGCAACTAAGAACAGAATAGGGAGGAAGAGCATGAGAAGAAGATCACCATTAAACAGGGACCAGAGGGGGGAGGGAAAGAGAGAGAGAAGGGAAATTGCATGGTAAAGGAAGGAGACCCTCATTGTTATACAAAATTACATATAAGAGGAAGTGAGGGGAAAGGGGAAAAAAACAAGGGACAGAAATGAATTACAGTAGATGGGGTAGAGAGAGAAGATGGGAGGGGAGGGGAGGGGAGGGGAGATAGTAGAGGATAGGAAAGGCAGCAGAATACAACAGACACTAGTATGGCAGTATGTAAAAAAGTGGATGTGTAACCAATGTGAATCTGCAATATGTATTCGGGGTAAAAATGGGAGTTCATAATATGCTTGAATCAAATGTATGAAATATGATATGTCAAGAGCTTTGTAATGTTTTGAACAACTAATAATAAAAAATAAATACTCAAAAATTCTTTGAGGTTCTCAATAATTTGTAAGTATTTAAAGAAAATAAAAATATTTTTTGAGACCAAAAAGTGTAAGAATACACAGGCCATATAGTGTAGGATTTCCAGGCATTGTTTAAAGAGCAGCTGAGGTCAAATTCCAATCCTCAAGATTGTTTTGTTCCTGCACAGCAAACTAGGTAAGAACTAGAAAAACTAGGTAGTTTAATTTATGATGGGTTTTCAGGATAATTAATGGTTAAGGATAAAATAGCAAAGAAGTAAAGGGTTAGGACAAAAGATGAAATGATCCACTTTAGAATCTTAGCTGGATAGGAAAAATAGTGAGTTTGAGAGAATGTTGATGATCTTCAAGAACAGGAAAGAAGAATACAAAGAATATGTCACAATAAGTTTAGCTGGTAAGTAGAATATAAAAGCTAGAAGAATAAAGAAATAGATAAGATGCTGGTTTAAACTATGGAAAAGTATATACTGTTAGCTGTCTTTTTATAAGCCAAGAAACTAACACTCAGAAGTGTCAGAACTGATGTTTGAGTTCAAGTCTTAAAATACAGAGAGAGCCTCATCCTCTTTTCACTGTTTATAATGCATGTATTAATCAGTTTTTCCATTACTGTGACAAATACCTGAGATAATCAACTTAAAAAGTAAGGAATATTTGTTTTGTCTCAGTTTCAGATGTCTCAGTCCATTGCCAATGTTTCTAGGCCTGTGGTAAACTAGAATATCATGGTGGAAAGCATGTGCTGAAGCACAGCTCTTCACTTCATGGAAGCTGGGAAGCAAAGAAAAGGGGATAGAATCTAAATATCCTCTTCAAGGCATGCCCCTGATTATCTGACTTCCTTCCACTAGGCTCCACCTCCTAAAAGTTCCACCACCTCCCTGTTATGCCGGAGGCTGGGACCAAACCTTTAGCATGTGGGCCTTTGGGAGACATGTAAGATCCAAACCATAACAATGCAGTTGGCCAACTTTCTTGTTTTAAGAACATGAAGTAATTGTGTATTTTAAAAATGAAAGTATTTTATTAATATTCTTAAAACAAAACATCTTTTTAAAAATATACTTTTTTTTTTCTTTTTACCTTTCAATCTAATAAAGGTTTCTAAAATTTTGGAAGAATTTGATGTTGAAGAACAACCAAGTACCATGTTAGAAAATCGTTTCCCCAACATTAAGGTTTTAGAATCTGGAGTAAAGCAACTGAAGAGTGAAGAACATGTAAGATACTTTCATTAAAAGTTATTTTTCTACTGTTAAATCTTGGTGAGGTTTTGACTGTCTTCTTTTTACCCCACTTCCATTGCACCATCATTTAAATCCCTAAAATGTAAAGTTTAGAGGTATTTATTTCCATTATTAAAAAATTTACACTTTTGGCCAGGTATGGTGGCACACGCCTGGATTTCCAGTTACTCAGAAGGCTAAGGCAGGACAATTGCAAGTTCAAAAGAGCCATCTGGGCAACTTAGTGAGACCCTGACTCAAAAAGTAAAAAGAGCTGGGAATGTAGCTCAGCGGTAAAGCACCCAAGGGTTTGATCTCATGTACTGCAAAGATTAAATTTAAAAAAGAAAGAAAAGTAACACTTTTGAAAATTTTGTTGTAATTATATAGTGAGTGTGTCGTTTCAGTTTCTACATTTCAAATTTCATTACTGTTTATAAAATGTTTTTGAAGTACTGCATTAGATACAAGGATATACTAGGAATAATACAAGCTTAGCTCCTCTAAGCTGTCAGTATCATAGAGAATATAGACATACCTACTATGTATCATATACAATATAGACATGCCTATTATGTATGTAAAAAAAACAATCCTAAAAATACTATTGAAGCTCTGATACTAAGTTTTAGGAAAACTTCACAGAGGGAGTAATATATTTGAGCTAGGTTTTAAAAGATGGGTGAGGGTTTTTCAGGTAGAAAAGGGCATTCTAGGAAGAGTAAATCAATGTTCAAAGAGCCAAAAGAAGGAAAAAGAGGCTAAGAAATAGTGTGGATGTTAAAGGACTTAGGATATGAGTAAATAAAAGAAAATGGCAATCAAGGCTGGATTGTGAAGAGCTTTTTATATCATGGCAAGAAGTTGAATTTATTTTATATTCAGTCAAAATTGTAAAAGTAGAAAAACTTTAAATAATTTTTAGTAAGACATATCTACAATAATGTCCAAGATGAACTGAGGTGGAGCCAAGACTGGTAGCCAACAACCATATTAATAGGCAATTGCATTCATACAAAATGATGTAAGTCCTGAGTTAAGACAGGGACAAGGTAGCTAGAAAACATGTCCCAAATTTAAGAGATATTTCTACTATATATTCAGCAGGACTCAGTAACCCCTTGGACATGAGAATAAGTAAGGCAGTCTCAAGAAAGGATATTGTCAGATGATTGAAAATATCCTCAGATGAACTTTAGGCAAATAGTAAATGGGGTTTGTAACTATTTCAGCTATAAAATGGGTGAAATGCAAATAATTCCATATAAAGAAAGTTAGGAATACTGAGTTTTAGGAGAAAAAAAATTTAAAATACGAATTCTAAAACTGAAGTAAGTTTCTAATACATTTAATGGTAGTACATATTCCAGATAACATCCATGTCAAGTTGTTTTGCAAACTGAGTGGATTCTCAAAAACAAGAATTTATATATTAGTGCCTCCCACTACTATTTGAAAAGTATGATACGTGTGATACATATCTGCATTCTTATCCATCATCCTGTTCCTTCCTTAGTGAATTAGAAATAGTGTTTTATTTTCATGTCTACTTCCAAAAATTTAGCAGTAGCTAATGAAAAATGTTTTTGTGATGTTTGTCTTTATAGTAGCTAAATTAATTTTTCAAGTTTGATCGGTGGCTACAATATAATATTATATTTTATTATTTTTAAAATTTTGAGACAGGGTCTCACTCAATTGCTTAGGGCCTCGCCAAGTTGCTGAGGCTGGCCTTGAACTTGGGATCCTCCTATCTCAGCCTCCCAGTATAAATTCTATTTCTGTCAGATAAAACTCTAACCAGATTATCTGAAGGAAGACTTGTATAATATTTCCATATGGATTATATTTGGTTGGATTGTGGTTTTATGTGTTTTTATGCAGATGAAGAGTTAAATTGGGTAATAAATATCTTTATGGGTAATAAATATTTGAATGATTTGCTAAGTTTTATAAATTAAATGTATAGCACAAATGAAAACCTCCAAAGTCAAGCATTTCTCGTAATAGTATGCACTTATGTCTGCTTTCTAACCTCCTAGAATTACATTTTCATTCAGTACTAAGGAACAAAATAGTGAATCTTTAATACGTATTTTTAGACTCACTGATATTATGAAAAATTAATATAAAAAACTTCAAAGCCAATGCCTGCAAAATTGAGGTTAACATGTTTTTCAATTGTATTAAAATGTAATCTCTCAAAACATTTAGTTTGCTAAAAGTTGTTATTATTGTATTTAAGCAATTTTTTAGCACATCTCATATTTTTAGATTAAAAAGACACATTATAACCTCCTATACCACATACTCCTTCCCTGAACCCATATCAGATATTAAGGTATGATAGGATTAGAATCACTAGATATTACAGTAACTTCCACTGGGAATAAAAGAATTTTCACCATGACCTATTCCCATGATAAAAAACTGATCAAAATGCTCAGTTTTAAAGTTCTTTATCAAGTTTAGTTTTTAATCTGAGGTTAACCTACCTTTCCAGACATTATGAGAGTCCCTGAAATTTTATTGCAGAACTTGTGTGGATGTACTTTTTTAAAAAGTCCAGAGGCAAGAGAATGATTTTCATCAGATCTTCAAAATGATTTATGACACTAAACTAATTAGAAATCACTTAATTAGAGAATATAGGCTTATGCTTAGTTTTGTAATTGCTATAACTAAGAATTGAGTGCCACCAAGAGGCAACCATATTATGTTATTTTGCTTTTGTCTTATTAAAGTTTTAATTTTTAAGTGAAACTGTACTCATGTATGTTTCTCTTCTTCCTTTCATTGCTGTGTGTACTTACAGTGCATATTCACAGAAGATGGCAGTCAGCATGTGTACAAAAAACTCTGTCTGTGTGCTGGAGCTAAACCAAAATTGATATGTGAAGGAAATCCTTATGTATTAGGAATTCGTGATACAGACAGTGCTCAGGTAATATTTTAAGGTTGGGTCATAGGAAGGGAACTTGAAGTTTCCTTAGACTTTTCAACATCTGAACCATAGTGTTCCATGCATAATGTTAAATTTTAAACTCGGAAGGAAGATTTCTCATAAACCAGAATGATTATAATGTTTTATTATTGCCAACTTTAGTTTGTTTTTTGTTGATAATTTATCTTATGTTTTAGTTCAGTCGAATGTCCTATATTTGTTTGGCTATCACATAGTTTAGATATAGTGCCTGTGCTGAATGGTATAGCTTACATTGCACACATATCAATTACTCCAGTTTGGGAACATTTGATTTGCAACCTAAACAATATTTAACAATCTTTTTCCAAAAAGGTATTGCATATCTTAAATTTGTGATCTTATTGCTCAGCAAAGAAATTAATATTCATAATTTCTTTGGTATGAAATCATGGAACTGATAAAGGTTTATGGCTTGGTTGGTTTATTGCTATTCCCCCGAACAAGGATAAACCATCCAAGAACGTGAAATGTTTATATGTGCAACTTTTTTTGGTAATTTATTTATTGTTACCAAGAAGCTCTTCCTGTTTCATGCCAATACTTTGTAATTCCCAAGATTACTGCTCCTGTTATGATTTTGCACTTACGTAACATTTTAACTTCATTAAAATTGCTGTTTTCTTTCAACCTACTTTTAATTAGGAATTTAGGGAAAAAACATTATCTATGATTATCCTCTCATAAATAGTTTAGGTTCATACTATCAGAATTTGAGCTTGGAACTGTTTTAGGTAGGTCTTCAACATACATGAACATACGTATACATCACAGATATTGAACAGCACACATGAACATACATTGAATTCTCATGAAAATCTTGATATTCAGGAAAGCCTTTGTTTCAAAGGTAGCTTGGGATGAAAGACAAAGGAAAGCATTTATAATATCAGGAGGGAACTACCTGGCAGAGTGGTTTACAAATAGAACACTGAGATTTTTACTTTAGAACAGATAAAAAGTAGAAGTACAACATCTGTTATACTTCAGGTTTAACATACGTATAGTTTAAACTCATGCCTTTCATCTCTATGTCTAGTGCTCTTTATAAACCTTTCTTAAATTGCAATATCCTCAATGAAGAACAAACTAAACTTAGCTTCTGTTTTTTTCTACAGTATAATTTTTAAAAAGTAATTTTTAGTGAACACTAAATTTGGGGGCCAATTTAATAACAATGGTAAGTTAGATAATAGGAAGAGAAATTTTTTTTGCTCAGATGTGATTCTGAAGCAATAAGACAAGTCTGTACTTTTGAAAAGTCCAGAGGAACGGCCACTGACTTCTCCAAGCTGAACATAAGTCTCTTTTTTTTGGAGGGGGGGTCAAGTAGTTCTCCTATAATGGTAAATACATTTTTCAATAATTGTTAGACACTATTACATGTCTGCTACTCCTAATAGCTTTATCACGTCATATAAACAGTCCTTCAGAAATATTAAGGGATATAATCACTTATTTCCATTTAGAGTTGAGAAACCTAAGGCATAGTGGTTAAGCATTTTACCCCAGGTCATCCAGTTAGGAACTGCTAAAGCCAGTGACTCTACAGCCTGTTCTCTTAACCACTATGTTGTTATGCTTCTCATTCCTGAAAATTTTAATGTTGAGAGACTCTAAGGAAACAGGTCCACTGAGAGGCTAGATAAAAAGAATAAAAATTGATTTGGTCAAACAGTTGGAAATGTGGTAACCTAGACAATACCTCTTGCTGAAATTCTGAAGTACTTCACATACAGTGACATAAAAGGCAAGAAAAATCAGGATAGGCCTTGCTACAAAGGCAGCTTGGAATGAAACAAAGGGGAACGTTGTAATAATTGAGAGGATAATATTCTGGTAGTATAGGGAAGTGAGATTTATTTTATTGTTCCTTTATAAATTTGATAAAACACATTTTTTAGAATATTATCAGTAAAGCCTCTTGCTTCAGGTATTGTCCACTATTTCAAAACGCTGTCTTATTATTTTCTTTTTTATATAGGAATTTCAGAAACAGCTTACTAAAGCTAAAAGAATAATGATCATAGGAAACGGTGGTATTGCACTTGAGTTAGTGTAAGTATGTTTTTAAATATTATTTAAGAATTGCTCTGTGGTTCATATGATTATTAGCAGAAAGCATACCCTGAAAATCAAAGATAAACATAACTATTTTTCAGTGTTTTCAAGGAAAAAAAATAGTTCTTATGGAACCCATCTCTGCAGAAATTTCCTCACAAAACATAAAAGGTTTGGGAATGTTTTTGGTCTGAAGGGCTCATAAACTGGTGGCTGGGAAGTTTTGATGCATAGATGTGCTTTATAACTACGTCCTGCGTATAAAAATAATTTACATGTATACACCTAAGAAATTTCATGGCCTATACACTTTTTATTGCTTATACCCACCCTCCTTCACTCATTTAATTTGTTACCTGTCTGGCCAGTGAAACCCAATAACAGTAGTAGTGACTACTATTATAAGACATGGTACTCCCAGAGCTAGGGATATAGCTCAGTTGATAGAGTGCTTGCCTTGCATATGCAAAGCCCTGGGTTCAGTCACCACCACCACCCCAACAACAAAGATGTGGTCCTCCCAATTCTTAGTTTTGTTTGTTTGTTGGGGGGGGGGGGGCAGGTAATATTTTCATTTTAAGATGATATTTCAAGTTCAAAAAAAAATGTTGAGAAATAGCCTATTGTGAACTGCAGAACACTGGTTCACTTTCCTTGTGATTTTTATCTTTCAGTAGGTGGCTAACATACATAGTCTAGATCTCTTTTGGGCCAGAAAGTTGGGTCAAACCACAAAAGGAAAAACTTGAATAAAAATAAGGAATATGCCAAGCCTGCCTTCGCTTATGCATCCACTCCAACTCTTAGAATAGTTTTTGCCCTTGTCTTTTTAGGATGGTCAATCCCATTGGAAGCCTATAAGAGTTCAGCAATAACTTAAGTATTAGAGGTAGCAATCATTATTATGGTAGGAAGTTTCTGTCATTGTATAGAAAAAATGCAGAGAAAATTCTAGAGTAGTAACCAAAATTCAAGCCATGTGGGGAGAGGCACAGATGTAGAAGGGGCTTCAAATTGTTTGTACAAGTGACAGATAATCTTCATCAGCTGTCACCAAAAGTATCATATAATAATTATTATAATTTACATTTAAAAGCTTTTTTATGTTCCAAAATGTTTATAGTCTCCAACATTTAATCTTTTATCATTTTCTTTATGTTGAAGAATGAAGACTATAAACATGGATAAAACATAATTTTACACACAGTAAGCTATTTGACAGCTTAAGAATGGTCACAAGTATTGCTATTCTGTGTTTAGATCCATTGAATGATTAGTTCTCTGTCTCTCAGGATGAAAAATGACATATGTAAACCCTTTCTACTCTTTAATACCATCTGTGTCCACAGAGGCTAACACTAATTTTGTCATCAGTATCCCCTTATTATCTGTTTCTTCTTTCCAAGTACAGATTAATTCTTTTCAAACAGTTTTTCACAATTTTACTAAACTGTGATACCACGCTATTGTCTATTTTTTGAGTGGTTTTAAAAATAAAAGTATTTCATCTATGTGTGATACTTTCAAGCTTGTATATCTTGATGAGACCTCAATTTGGGTTAGGAGAAGATTAGAGGCTGAGGAAGAGCAAGTTCAGGACTACTTTGTGGTGATTACTTAAAATAACTGTGGCCTGCAAGTCAATCATAAGTATATTAAACTACGCTGATGTTTTTATACTGCTATATTAAGGTATGAAAAACTATAAATTTCTCATTTATAAAAAGGAAAACATTTCATGATAACTATATGACTATATGTAAATTGAGCAAAATTATCAAATAGGTATGTATTCCATTTTCTGCTAATGAGCAATGTCTGACCTAAGCAACATAAAATAGAATTTTCTCCCAGTAATCTAAAATTTAGTGACTAAATGTTAGCATTGGAGAGTAGGAAAAATAAAGTAACACTGGATAAGGCAAAGGGCTTCTTTCCAGTATGTCAAAAAAAAACATGAATAGCATGTGACCAGGAGTATGATGTACTAAAAATATCTTGTCTTTTCTATTACATGGTTATTATTAGTCTTGAAAAGTCACATAACCTGTGTTACATTATACCAGTCTAAGAGATTAAAATGGCATTTTGTTTGAACCATTAAAAATGTTTCCAAAGAAGTCAACTATTCCCAATACTGTAGCTATTTACCATCTATCCATTATTGATTGCACTATAACCAGATGAACAAAACCTTGTGTACATCTGGAGGACAGTTGCATAAAACTTGAACACTCTGAAATGATATTCATTGTAATAAAATTTTTCTTAATGTTAAGTACATATATTTAGTATTCTTTTGTTTTGCTTTTGGATTGAACCCAGGGGCACTTTACCACAGAGCTACATCTCCTACCCTTTTTATTTTTATTTTGAGACAAGGTCTTGCTGAGTTTCTTAGGGCATTGCCAGATTGCTGAGACTAGTCTCAAATTTGCAATTCTCCTGCCTCAGTTTTCAGTCACTGGGATTTCAGGAATATACCACCGTATGCAACTATTTATAGTATTTTTATTATCCTTAAAGTGTATTATGTTACTCTTTATAATCAGTCTTTCCAAATTTGTCTAAAAATGTTTGTTACTTTTGCTTTAAAAGATAATTGTTATTTGCAGATACAGAGATTTCTCCTTGGATCTTTGAAATTATGTCAGATAACCTTAATATTTGTTTCAGATATGAAATTGAAGGCTGTGAAGTTATTTGGGCCATTAAAGATAAAGCTATTGGGAATACTTTCTTTGATGTAGGAGCTGCAGAATTTTTGACTTCCAAACTCATTTCTGAAAAACCAGAGACTAAAATTGCACATAAAAGAACTAGATATACAACTGAAGGTATGTATGCCATCTAGTTCATTAATTCTCATATGGAATTTTTTTAACTATACACAAAAGGGCTATAAAATTTTAGCAACATATATTTGGTATATAAGACTATGGATATTTATTCCTGTATCTTTACATGAAGTTTTCAGATTTTCTAAAACATATATACAATTGAGAAATTTAGAATGAATTAAATAAACCAGCCCATTTGCCTCTTTGCAAACAGATGCTATAGGGCAGTACCCAAGGTAATTTTCTAAAAATACCACAGGTACAAACCTCACAATTTTTGTTGTTATTGCTGTTGTTTAATAGCTTTTAAAAAAAATTCTGGGCTGGGTATGTGGCTCAAGCGGTAGCGCGCTCGCCTGGCATGCGTGCGGCCCGGGTTCGATCCTCAACACCACATACAAACAAAGATGTTGTGTCCGCCGGAAAAAAAATAAAATAAAATAAAAAATAAATATTTAAAAAATTCTCTCTCTCTCTCTCTCTCTCTCTCTCTCTCTCAAAAAAAAAAAAAAGGAAAAAAATTCTGACATAAAATTCAAAACAAAAAATTTGTACGTTTTGGAGTTCTTAAAAGTTCATAAAATTTGAAAATCTGACAACTAATTTTCTTACCCTTCAAATTATTTGGTATGTAATATCCAAAAAAATACATCAAGTGTTATTTATACACAATACTTAATGGAAGGATTATCCATTTTATAGGTATAAACCAAACAATATTAAAAAGAATTAAATGATTAATGCTTAGTTTAGTCACGAATGAGAATCATACACTGCCTAAAGTTTCAGAACACAGGCATAATTTTCTGCCTGGCAATTTGTAAATCATCTGAGTTCATTTTTTCAGGAAAGAAAAAAGAAGCAAGAACCAAAGTTAATGCCGATAATGTAGGCAGTGCCTTGGGACCAGACTGGCATGAAGGGTTGAGTCTTAAAGGAACAAAAGAGGTATGTGTCATACACTGGCTAAATATATTTAAATTCAATGTTAGATTCGTGAGCCATTTGTTAACGTTAGCCAAAGAATTGGTAGGTCACTTTACTTTATAAATCCATAGTGCTAGGAAAGGACTCAAAGCCATTTGGCCTAGATGCCCACCAAAGATAGGTGAATATGAAATTTATCCAACTCTCAGTCTTCCTCTTAACTCTGAAGGGATAGAAATTTCCAAACCCTGATTACACTGAACACACCTGTCCTCTTTTAATCTTTTCTTCAAGATCACTTCAGATACTTCTAGTACACTTATAAAGTTTGTTAGATAACCCTATCTCTCACCATCCACAAAACTCAACTCAAAATGCTTCAAGGACTTAGAAATAAAACCAGAGACCCTGCGTCTAATAGAAGAAAAAGTAGGCCCTAATCTCCATCATATGGGATTAGGCCCCAACTTCCTTAATAAGACTCCTATAGCACAAGAATTAAAACCAAGAATCAATAAATGGAATAGACTCAAACTAAGAAGTTTCTTCTCAGCAAAAAAAAATAAAAATAAAAACAATCTGTGAGGTGAATAACTATCCTACATCTTGGGAGCAAATTTTTACCCCTCACACATCAAATAGAGCACTAATCTCTAGGTTATACAAAGAACTCAAAAAGTTAAAACACTGAAAAAATAAATAACCCAATCAATAAATGGGCCAGGAACCTGAACAGACACTTCTCAGATGATGATATACAATCAGTCAACAAATATGTGAAAAAAATGTTCATCATCACTAGCATTAGAGAAATGCAAATCAAAACCACTCTAAGATTTCATCTCACTCCAGTCAGAATGGCAGCTATTATGAATACAATCAACAGTAAGTGTTGGCAAGGATGTGGGGAAAAAGGTACACTCATACACTGCTGGTGGGACTACAAACTGGTGCAGCCAATATGGAAAGCAGTATGGAGATTTCTTGGAAAACTGGGAATGAAACCACCATTTGACCCAGCTATCCCTCTCGTGGGTCTATACCCAAAGGACTTAAAAACAGCATACTGCAAGGACACAGCCACATCAATGTTTATAGCAGAACAATTCACAATAGCTAAACTGTGGAACCAACCTAGATGCCCTTCATTAGATGAATGAATAAAAAAAATGTGGCATATATACACAATGGAATATTACTCTGCAATAAAAGAGAATAAAATCATGGCATTTGCAGGTAAATGGATGGAGTTAGAGAAGATAATGCTAAGTGAGGTTAGCCAATCCCAAAAAAACAAATGCCGAATGTTTTCTTTGATATAAGGATGCTGATTCTTAGTGGCAAAGGGAGGGGGAGCATGGGAGGAATAGAGGAACTCTACGTAGGGCAGAGGTGTTAGAGGGGAAGGAAGGAGCCATGGGGTCAGAAATAATGGTAGAACATGATGATCATTATCCAAAGTGCATGTATGAAGACACGAATTGGTGTGAATATACTTTGTATACAATCAGAAAAATTGTGCTCTATATGTGTAATAAGAATTGTAATGCATTCTGCTGTCATATATAAATAAAAATAATTTTTAAAAAAGAGTAGAAAACTCGAAAAAGAAGTTTGTTAGATAGGTTCAAACACATTCACTTATTATCCTAATTGGATAAGCAGATTACTTGCTATTTTTCATTAACTATTTTAAATGTTTGACAGTTGTTAAAAAGCTGTCATATTTTAAAAGGAGTATGCATAGAGTTCTTAATAACTCTCTGATTTCTTTAAAGCAATTTTTTCAGCTTTGGATAAGTAAGAGGGTCTGGCTACATGGTATACTTAATTTGGAGGATGGGATTATACAGAATCATTTCTTTCTGTACTCTTAGATCCTACGATTGTTTTTTTAACACAATAATACAGTTCAATAAACTTCTACTGAATATCTACTATTTACCTAGGACTAGTAAAGTGCTAGGTTCTGGAATTTTTCTGAAGAAGTTTTTATAGTCTGTTACTATTCTAATTTTTAAACTATGCATGTGTAATTATCCGGCTAAGAATGAAAAGCATCCCCTCCATTCTATTTGCCAGTGCAAATGCTAGGTCTCTTTAAAGTACTGAATGCATTTCTGCTCATTCCTCTTATGCACAAAAATGGAGAGGTTTTTTAGGGGTATCCAGAGTAATTCATATCTAAGTATTGTTTTTCCCCTCTATGTTTCTGCAAGTGTATTATAGTTATTTTCTTCGTCTTCAGTAACACAAGTTATTTTCTTGAAGTATTAGAGTAACCTTTTTTTTTCTTTTTACTTCTAGTTTTCTCGTAAAATTCATATTGAAACTATGTGTGAAGTAAAGAAAATCTATCTTCAGGAAGAATTTAGAATTCTAAAGAAAAAGTCCTGTACTTTCCCAAGAGACCATCATAATGAATCAATTAAAAGTGATAAAGGTAAAATATATAACCACTTATTTTAAAGGAATACAGTCTTGCTGTCTTATATTTTAAAACTTGAGATTTCCATATAAAATTTAAGTAAAAAATAAAGCCATAATTGAATAACATTAAGTCATTTCATTTCACTACTTATTCTTTAAAATTTCTAATAAATTATATAAGGCTTTAAATTTTACACAGTGCTTGGACTGTCTCAGCTCAACGAGTTAATCAATATATTACAGCTCAAAACAAATCATATTACAAATAAATTTTTTTTAAAATCCTAAAGTTAGTTGAGGTAAAGTGACTTCCCTTAATCGGATTGAAAATTTCTGTATTTAGGAATAGGATATAGATTTTCTATGTCCTATTCCACATTCCCATGAAAACTACTATTCTACACTCTTGTGCATTATTTGAAGAAATATATGATTATATAAATCTCCTGCTCCAAATTCTTTTCAGTTTTTCCATAGGAAAAGGTAATGTTCAAGATGAACTATGTACTATGAAGAAAAACACTGAAGAATAAACTAGTTGGGGGGCTGGGGATGTGGCTCAAGTGGTAGCGCGCTCGCCTGGCATGCGTGCGGCCCGGGTTCGATCCTCAGCACCACATACAAAGATGTTATGTCCGCCGAAAAAAACTAAAAAAAAAAAAAAATATTAAAAAAATAAACTACTTGGATCAAACAGTATAAAATATTTATGAAAATTTTCAAGGAAATAATTTATAAAGTGATTATCAGTTAAATTTACTTTGTTAAAATGTATATGTCGTCTACGGCCATACCACCCTGAACGCACCCGATCTCGTCTGATCTCGGAAGCTAAAATGTGTATGTCCAAGTTTGAAGGAAAACATGTAGAATGCCATGTTTTTTGTAATTATACCCCAAAAAAGATGACGTACCTTATAAAAATTATTCAAGGTGTTATTCTAAACTCATTTCCCTCTTTTTTTTTTCCTTTTCCATTTTTTGTTGTAGAGGACACAATATCTTTATTTTTATGTGGTGCTGAAGATCAAACCCAGTATCTCACATGTGCTAGGCAAGCACTCTACCACCAAGCTACAACCCCAGCCCTCTTTCTTCTTCATTTCTAGTTGTTATATTCATGTAATGCTGTGAATAATTGCTGGTGATTATATCTGAGAATAAAGTTGTTTTTTTGTTTTTTTGTTTTAAAGAGATGTGGCCTGTGTATGTGGAATTGACCAATGAAAAGATATACGGCTGTGACTTCATTGTCAGTGCTACAGGAGTTACACCAAATATAGAACCTTTTCTCAGTGGTAACAATGTAAGATTAAATTTTTGGTTCAACTATGATTATTTTTAAAGTATTAACTTTTATGAAGACTTCCTCTCAAGCATGAAAAATTGTTTTAGTATTAACATATAACTTCAGATGGCTGAAAACAGTTTGGTTTATAGCCAAGCTTTGATTTACAGTATTCTTTATTGTTTAAAATACTTAGTAGCAGCATAATGTCATCAAGGTACATAACATACAATTTATCTAAACGTCAGTAAGAGACTAACATCACCTATGAATTCTCAAATGTGAATTTTATAGACTCTTTTTTAATTATTTACTGATTGCTATGCAGCAAAAGCTTATAAAAACAGGAATGTTTCTGTAATTATGGGTGGTATAGTCATATGATTATTAAATATTTTTGATGTTGAAATTCTGAGAATTTTTTTCTGATTCTGTATTTAGTAGGAATTTGATCCCTGGAAATTCAGCTTAGGTGTCTAAATTTGGCAGCTGTTTTTCACTTTCTCATTAAAGATCAGCACACCAAGGAGTAAAAATTTCACTTGGTCTTTTACTTTAGAATGAAAAACTTGTTTCATTTTTCTCAACACTTATTGCTTATAAGGAACGTTTTTAGTTTGAACTAGGAGAAGATGGTGGCCTGAAAGTGAATGACCATATGCACACATCCCTTCCTGATATCTATGCTGCAGGTGACATCTGCACTGCCTCTTGGCAACCTAGCCCAGTCTGGCAGCAGGTAAGCTTGCATTTATGGTCATTTGTTTTTGTTAGATAATGCACTTGAAAATAAATCAGTTGCTATCAACAAGTCCAACTTTTTAATTTTCCAGCTTTTCTACTTTAAGGAGGACTCTTATATCACAGTCATTTTCTGATGTTAAAAAAATAAAACTAGATTTTTCCCCCTTTTTGGTAAGTTATACAATAGTAGATTGAGATATCTATTTTCTTTTCCTTTTACATAGTTTTATTGAACAACTGTTGTTTCACCACTTTATTCTCACATCAAGCCTCACACAGTTCAGTGTAGCAGATGTTTCCATCTCCATTCACTCCTGGGATATCTACTAAGAAGGGGTGTGAAGTTGAGAATATCAGTAGAGTGAGCCAGAGTCAGCCTTAGAATCCAGGTCTGACTTCAAAGCTCAAGCTCAGATATTTTTTAATTTAAAAGAAATTATGGGCTAGTATTTTTTTCATTTTCATATGCCTATCAGTTCTGTCCAATAGTACTTTCTGTGATGGAAATTCTATAATTCTGTTCAATAATTCTGTACTGTCTAATCTGACAGCCCCTAGAAGCACATGTCACATGAGTACTTTTAAGTATAGCTGATATGACTGAGGAACTTAACTTTTTGGTTTTATTTACTCTTAATTATATTTAAAAGCTACATGTGGCTAGTCACAACCATATAGTCACAACCATAGCAGAGCTTTTAATTTAAACAATGAAAATGACTCAGATCATAGATTACATAAAGCCTCCTATTCCTGGTAACTCTATTATGGTAATCATTACTATGAATTTTCTTATAGTGAATTGCTTTCCTCCACCTAACAACTCCCAACTGGCTCTGCACTTCCTCCTTTCCTCACACCCTAGCCTATTTCCTTCTAATGGGAGAATAATAATACTAGAGGAAGATAATTAAAAACACAAGGAGGTTATGTTAGAAGGGGTAAAGATAAGAGACATATTACAGATAAAAGAACCTTAGTTAAAAAGACAAGTTCTTGGTTAGAGCTATTATTCATTCAGATTAACTATAGGGTGTAATGTAGTGGGAAAGCACTGCATATTTGAAGAGGCAGTGTCATTTTTTTATTTAATGTAGAATAGAGACATCAGTACTGGTGTCAGTCTTCTTGTTTTCAACATAGCTTCTTTTCAGTTTTCTCCATCATCCTTTGTCATTTTTTGTGGTATAACTGTTACAATTTTTTTTTGGCGGGGGGTGGTACTGGGGATTAAAATTGACCACTGAGCCACAACTCCAGCCCTATTTCTATTTTATTTTAGAGATAGGGTCTCAGTCAGTTAGGTACTGCTTTTGCTGAGGCTATCTTTGAACTCACAGTCCTCCTGCCTCAAGCCTCTAGAGATGCTAGGATTACAGGTGTGCACCACCACACCTGGCAGTTGTCAAAAATTTTTAATTAGGAGTTTGTGAGATTTTTAACAAACATTTTAAACCCACTAAGATGAATTATTTCTTTAATATGCTATAATTTTATACAGGGAAAATATTCAAAAATAAACAGACATCTCTTATTTTGAGTAAATCTAATAGATTCCATTTCTTAATTTGCAGAAGCAATAAAATATTAATTTTATATAGCCCAAGATGCAAACTCAAGGAATATTGAGGCTGGATTACACTAGGTAATGGCCCAGCAACATGTGGGCCATTCTTACAGCCATTGTCCAGCTATTACTGTGCTTAGTTTACTCTGATTTCTTACAATATTCTACCTTTTTACTTCATTAAACCTACCTTGTTTATAAAGATTTTTTTAAGTCAGTGCAGGCCACTTCTTATAGCCATTGTCCAGCTATTACTGTGCTCAGTTTACTCTGATTTCTTACAATATTCTACCTTTTTACTTCATTAAACCTACCTTGTTTATAAAGATTTTTTTAAGTCACTTCTAGAAATGCTCAAAGTTCATGCCTGTATTGTATTGTTTTTGCACACAAAAGTCAGTATTAAGGTACATATGCACACACAGAGGTGTAGAAGGAAACAAATTGCCTATTATAGGCCAACCTGTTCTCCCTAGAGAACAGCCATGTAGTAGGTGGTGGTGGTTATGCTTCAGGTGAAGAAACTGAGGCTCGAAAAGATAAATAAATGTGTAGAAGAATGGAATTCACATTTACTGTTACTCCCAAAGCCAGTGTTTTCTGTTATACCAGGGAATTCCAAAATTTATAGAAATATAATAAAAATACAATAGAGGGGAAATTAGTTCTGTCAAAGAGATGACATTGCATGACTTTCCAGAATCGACTGCTGAAATCTGATATGATACCTTAGGGCTGGCACCAGCTGACAAATATCTGTATGTGGCTGACCATAGGTTAACTGTACAGTAGGACTTTAACCATCTGATGCCTAAATCTAAAGGTTACTAGACTATGGACCAAATTTTTCAGAGATTGGTATCTCTCTCAATGCTGAAGACAAACTTTGATGTGGGGACTGGTTAATTAAAATTTCATTTTCAGTGTACCTGAAATATTTTCATAATATTTAGTAGAAATTTTATTAAAATATATGTGTAATTGGTGTCATACTATATTACCTGTAATGGGCCAGGGGTCACGTTGTGTCTCTCAGCTTTTGTATTCTTGTAGAAGAAAATGTGAAGCAAGCAGGACATAAAATGTAGTGGAAGTATACATAGCAAAGTTTATTGGAGGAACAGGGAAAGACCCTCAAAGAAGCCGGTGGAACATCTCAAAGAAGAGAGAGATGTGGCACTCCTTTTTCCCTAGTTTTATTGGGAGGTCTTAAGGAATTTTCTAAAGAGACCTGTCCTACGGACTCTCAATTCTTAACTGACATTAGGATTACATCAAATTTTTAAATCCCTACCATGTATGGTCTTACCCACAGGTAACCAAATGAAATCCCTGGAACAGGGTGGGAATTTTACCATTATAATTACATGCTAAAAATTGAATGGCAACTCTTGGTCATCTTGGCCTGTGCTGACTAGTTCTAATTGAAACTTGTATTTTGCAGATTTTATGGTCAGTGGGCTTTGCTTTTTAATAAGCCTATCTTCTCGAGTCTTGGAATTTTGGTCTGTATGAAAGTCATAAAAGTCCCCCCTCAGGGTAACTTGTGTTCATCTCAGCAGTGAGGAATCTTACAATCAAGAGTCTTAAAAGAGCAGCTCCACATATAACAGGTTGTTTGCTGAGGAATGTAATATGTCCTATGGACTTAAGCCAGAGCGGAGCCACAATGTCCTCAGGTCATTTGCTTTTTAAGAGAAAGCATGTGGCGGACCAGCACATAGTCCTATCTATAGAATTATCTCTTTAGTTTCGTGTTCCTGCCACTCATTGTTGTCTTCTATTTACCAGTATCTTAATTTTTGAGGCAGTAAATTGATTAAATTAACAGTTACCTAAGTCAATTTAATTGGTGTACACAGGTAACTGCTTCAGTAAGATGATAACTGCCAGAACCAACTGATCTGAAAAACTATCAAACATTGTACCCTCTTTAAAGGAATGTACAGGTTAAAATGATAACATTTTCAAAAATGTTAAAATGTATAACATTTTTTCATTGTCTCAGATGAGGTTGTGGACCCAGGCCAGACAGATGGGATGGTATGCTGCAAAATGCATGGCTGCAGCTAGTTTGGGAGACTCTATTGACATGGATTTCAGCTTTGAACTGTTTGCTCATGTAACAAAATTTTTTAACTATAAGGTAAGATAATTAAGGAAATCATTGCCTTTTCTGTTAATCTAGTACATAAATATGATTGATCATCTCATTTTCTTACTCAAAAATTTACCTGGTTTCAGTCATTTTTACAAAAATGACATTTTCTCTTTCTTGCCAGTCAGTGTCTGGAATTGCTTTTAATTCCTAATCTTAATTATTACCGTGTTACTATACTGTTTTACAGTTAAGATGGGAAAAAAAAAAAAACTCTCCAGATTTATGTCCTATTGTACATTTCTAAGTTTTATTTGAGATTCACCTGTTAGCTGTCATACTCAATAATGAACCAGTTTCTTTCCTGTACGTTTTAGTTCTCTTTGCATCACTCCAAAGCAGGTCTTTACCTTCCTAATTTATATATAAGGAAAAATACATTTGTAAGGCTCAGAGAGATTAAATAATTTGTCCATGAAAGCTCTCAGTTTTTTCAATCTTTAAACAATGACTCCAGTCGAATATAGTTCACATATCATGTATTTCTTCACTAGACATTTTTAATATTCATGTAGATTATAAAGTACATCCCCTTATATTCTCTAGACACTTTTAATGTTAATACTATACATTAACATATTCACTGATACTTTTAATATTAGTGCAGATTATGTGGTAGTGTTATATGTAGAATAAATGCAGGACATTAGAATGTTTTCTTTGGGATCCTCCCCAATGATATTTTCAGCTAAAATTTTGTTGAACAGTTTTTCTGCTGGCTATTCTAGCTTGACCCAAAGTAACTGCACAATTTTATATTTCCTATTAGGTACTCACAAGAAACTTTTTTATCCCCATATACAGGTTGTATTGTTGGGAAAATACAATGCACAGGGCTTAGGTTCAGATCATGAATTAATGCTGAGGTGTACCAAAGGACAAGAATACGTCAAAGTCGTCATGCAAAATGGGCGAATGATGGGAGCTGTCTTAATTGGTGAAACTGATTTAGAGGAAACATTTGAAAATTTAATTCTAAACCAAATGGATCTTTCATCATATGGAGAAGATCTTCTAGATCCAAATATTGATATAGAAGATTATTTTGACTAAAATGGAAATTTCTTCAAGAACCATATAAAGGTCCAAATGAGGAAAACTGGAAGTCAGTAAAGTGAATCATTGCAATAATCTAATGATGGCCACACTGAAGTTATATATAGAAGTTATAATGATGTTAGTGGGAAAAGTATTAAATACAATTCTAAAGATGAAATCAGTTCAAATAATTTATTTATAGATATATTTCTAACACAAAATTGGCCCCTTATTATATAAGAAATCTTAAGTTACACATTTTTATATTTTGAACTTAAACATTTTACTTATGATTTAGCTTGGGAGCATATTTAACCAAGTTCTTATTTATTTAGCCAAAATGTATTCTAATAGACCAGATCCATTTTTGACTGTAAAATGTCAAAGTAGGGATATAGTTTAAAAAAGCTTACAGTTTCATTTCCCTGAAATAGAGATGTAGCTGTAACTTACTTGCTAATATTATTTATATTGATGCCTTATTCTTTTTGAATTATATTTTTATAACCTGATGAAATCATTTACATTATTCAGCTTAAAATATCACTCACTTGTAGTGATGAGCCTGTGTCAGTTTAATAGTGCCATCAAAAAGTTACATCAAAAGAAAAAAATATACTTAAGTATACCAATGCATAAAGACTGTAAGAAAGCCAGATGAATTTATTGTCAGTTATTTTGTATTTGTAAAATTTTGCATAAAAATTATTTGTATTTCTTGTTTTATATTGTAAAATTATAATTCTTTTAAAATATTTTTTAGTTATACATGGGTATAATATCTTTATTTTGTTTATTTATTTTTATGTGGTGCTGAGGATTGAACCCAGTGCCTCAAATGTGTGAGGCAAGCACTCTACTAATGAGCCACAACCCCAGCCCCAGTAAAATTATATAATTCTTGATTCCTAATTATTGAAAGGTCTCAAATTCTCAAATCTTCACAAAGATAAGCTCTAAAAATAGTTTTCTCTATCATATAAAGTATCAGTGAAATTGTTGTTAAAATAAACTATTAACTACAAAAATAATGATGTGTACATGCATAAACAGTTATTGTTGTGGAAAATTCGTAATAGTTATTTCAGGCGTCATCAATTTTTCTTTTCTTAGCCCCTGTATTCTTAGAACCAGACTGTTGAAGCATGTTTGTGGACTTCTGGAAGTTACCTGAAGTTTTTCCTTTCCCCTTTTTATCAGCTTGTTCAGAATGATAAGCTTCAGATGTCTCAACCTACAAAAAATAACAAAGCAAGCACCCTGGTAAAAATTCAGCTTTTCAGTTTCTCATGAGATTAATAATCTCAAAATATTCTTTATGTATCCGTTAGCTTATTCTTCATCCAGGAGTCTAGTTTTCACCTCCAAAATTCTCCTCAATCTGAGCCTAATCTAAAGAGGCCATGTTGTCTGAAAACAAACCTGAAGAAAACTGGTGGTGTCCTGAGACATGGTGGTTCCTGGCATGCTTTTGCAGGCTTGACAGTATTGGGTTTGTAACTCTGGAGTAGCATAGACAGATTTCTTAACCATTGCTGATCACAACCAGTATCAGGAGGGAAGTGGGCCTCCAAAATTAGACTTCAAAATGGAATTCACATTCCAAAGGTTGGAAACTCCTAGTCTATGTTGGGTAATCTAAATTATTCTACTTAATATCTCCACAGAAAATAAAGTTACACTCTCTCTCTTCCAAACTCAGAATCTAAGAAAAAAATGATTTTTCTCTTCTTGTGTTCACCAGAACCCAGGAGAGAAATGCAGAAAAACATCCCATAAGCTTTCATATATTTTTAAGCACATAAAAAACGGAAAGTAGCCAGTCAGTTACCTTGAAATCGCTCTGTGTGCGCTTCTTTACTTGCATAGTAATAACATGTGCTTCACTGTTCAGAAGATTAGCTTTAGGTCCTATTTTCAAGTACGATATGGTAGCATAAGCTGTAAAACTATAGTCTTCTCTGCAGAAGATAAAGGCCAATAATCAGAAAATTTCACAGGAATCACAAACTGAAATTTTTTAAAGAAATAACTACAATTTTAAATAACTATGAAATAATAAAAATACTTCTAATACTTATAAAAATACAGTAGCACAATTATACTATATGAGCACAAATATAATCTTTATAAAAAACAGTTTTGCACTTTTTTGACTTACACTGTCAATCAAGGTTTGAGTTTGTTCATTAGGTAAATTGTTTTCTATAGCATTTTAAAGTTGACATGAATAACTACAAAGCCATTTATTCTATTATAATTAAAAAAACATAAAGATAACATGAAAGGACAAGAAATGGGTGTGTATATACTTAAGATACTGCTGTAGAAGAAAGTGTGCAATGATTTTCTCCAGGTCTTCACGAGGAAGTACAGGAGCAACCACACCCGCTACTCTCAGTTTTGATGCACCCTTTCCCATCCAAGAATCAATCAGTTTAAGTGGAGTGAGTTTTTCATTCAGTTCTTCTGCCTGTTTCAGGATCTTAATTAGATCTCTACAGTACTCTGTTATATTCTTTTTTTCAAATGCTACAATGAAAGAGACATGGTTATAGCTAATTGGAATTTCAAAACGAGAGCAAGGATAGGCTATCATAAGTGGTTAAACTGGTTTAAAATTAGTTATCAATGTGAGCCACTCTTAAACATTATTATTATTATTATTGTTTACTGTGTTCTAAATTAAGATGAGGCTGTTCCTCAAGTCTCTATTACTAGACCAACATATTGTAGGATTTATAGTAATGTAAAGAAAATACCCTGGTTATCAGCAGGCTAGCGGTACTCTAGAAAGCATAAAGTGTCCACCAGACAGTTATTAAAAGGTATATGTTATAGGAAAGTCTGATCCTCATACTTACTTATCTGATTCGTGTTCATTAAGCCAAATTCTAAAAACTAATATGGGTTCCTATGCCAAAAATGTCCTGGACAAATATTCCCAACTGTTAAGAGGCTGGCACTCTAAAATATCATATTTTTGTTAACTTGGTCAGTTTAAGATAATCTAATAAACTCATAAATAACTTTCTTTAGCTGCAAAGTTAAAAGTGCAGTGACTTCCACCCAAGGCATCAGAACTAAATGAGGCTCTGTATGAAGAACTAATTAGTTTAGCTTTTCAAGAACAACATATACATACATACACAATGAAAAAAGACACCACTAAGTTAGTGTCTTACTGAGTAGTTCATCATTTTGCTAAAATCTGTTTGCACTATATTTTCTTCCCAGTGACTACAAAATGTTAGAGATTATCATAGGGTTAGCTCATTCTTTTTTTTTTTTTTTTTTTTAAGTGTGTGTGTGTGTGTGTGTGTGTGTGTGTGGTGCTGGGGATTGAACCCAGAGCCTTGTACAAGCAAGGCAGGCCCTCTTATCAACTGACCTATGTCCCCAGCCCATACCTCTTTCAAATATACAGTATTTCTATTTAGAAGAATCAAATTTTACCTTATTTTTAAAAAATTTCACGTCCTATACTTATATTGCTATATTGTGCATATTTACCTACTTCAAGACATTATTTTTGAATCTGGAAAATTCTAGTCATAACTTGTTTTATCTTTTTAATCCATTGGGGGTCTAATACTTTCCTTACTTAATCCTAGCTGTATACATTAGCCTACAAAGGTTTAAAAATACACACTTACAAATGTCTTTACAGCAGTTATCACACATTTTATTACATGCTTCTGAATTCCACACTTCATCGAAATGTTGAGCTATCAATACACGGCGACATCTGCAAACAAATTCAGAGGTATAGATTATTAAATGATCTAATAATAAAGTTTTTAAAAATTACTATTTCAGGATCCTTTTTGGTTCATAAGCATGGTGACTAAGTGTCTGCACTGTCCTGAGATGTGCCTCCCTTTAAAACTGTGACACTGGTACAGTACCTTTCTTACATTAAAAAAAAAAGAGAGAGAGAAATCACTACACTTCAGAGTATAGTTACCTATTCTATTATTCTTGCATTTCTACAAATTAGAAATCTATCACGGGTCTCACTGGGTCAAATTGAAAGTGTCAACAGAGCTGCATTTCTTCTGGAAGCTCTAGGTGAAAACTTATACCCTTGCTTTTCCAGTTTCTAGAGGCTGCCTGGCCCCTTCCTCCATCTTCAAAGCCAGCAATAGTGGGTTGAATCCTTCTCATATCACATCAATCTGACCTCTCTGCTTAACTCTTCCACTTTGAAGGCCCTTTGTGGTTACACTAGACCTACCCATATGATCTAAACTAATCCCTATTCCCCTTTGTCATGTAAGGGAAGACATGAGTTGTAGCGATTAGGACAAGGCCATCGATGGGGGACCACTTTGCCTACTACATATTTTATGCTTTTTTTCATTATGTTCTTGAACATAATGTTTAAGAAGTTATCTGTTTGGTTTTGAGATCAGTATTTTAGGACTATTGGGAAAATGTTCTTGACAGAAAAGTAGTTACTTATATTTTAAATTATCGATGTTTTAGTCTAAACCTCAAAATACGTCATGAAAGTCTGAGAAATCTTCATTTTCTTATTTCTCTTAATTAGATTACTATAGCGTACATTTGAGAGAAAATGCTATATTCTATCACCGTTGGGTTACTATTCTCCATTTCAACATTTTTGAGCCCTTCTGTGTGCAGTAAAAGTACAAAGAGGATAAAGATCTAGAGGCCATCAGGAAACTATATGGTCTAACTAAATTTACCCTAAATAGATTTATATTTATTTCATAATGTGAAACATGACCTTGTCCTCAATTATTTCCTTTGCACATTGGGTGGTAGAATGGCCCACGTTACTGAGTTTCGCTCTCAAAATACCTGTCATACATCTGTTTTTTTTTTTCTTTCTTTCTTTCTTCCCCCACCCCAGGGGGGATAGGTACCAGGGATTGAACCCAGGGGTGTTTACTGGTGAGCCACATCACAGTCCTTTTTTATTTTTTTATTTTGAGACAGGGTCACGCTAAATTGCTTAGAGCCCTGCTAAATTGCTGAGGCTGGCTTTGAACCTTCAACCCTACTACTGTAACCTGCTGACCACTGGGATTACAGGCATGTACCACCATGCCTGGCCAATACACCTTTTCAAAATTATTACAGCATGTAGCTGTTACACCACACTGCCAAAGGAAAAAGGCTTCAATTCATTGTCAATGTGTATCAAAATCTTCAGTTAAACAATTAATTTAGATAGAGCATCTTTCTTGAATTAATAAAAATCATTAGAAGTTTGATACACTGGTTCCTGCCTCCAAATATCTGCTTCTACAGATTTGGGTATTAATACCAATTTACTTAGTAAGTATTCAAATAATATTGTACAATTTAATATCATGCTTTTCTTTAATAGTTTTAAAACAGACATGTAACTTACTTGCTTATGTTTTGGCAGTATGACACCATCTCATAAAGCTTCTGTTGTCCCACATTTTCCATGACCACCATTGAACTTACTCTGAATATATCTCCAAAGCCATAATACAAAATGCAGTCTGCTCTCATGTCATCTCGACCTGTAGTTTGAGAAATCCGTGAGATTGCATGATTACTTATTTTAAAAACACACATGAAAAAATGATAAATATGTAAAATAGGCTGGCAAAGTTTTAAACTACATCTAGAGATTTTAGAGATGTAAAAATTATTTTTAACAGCTACTCTCAAGTTTTTTTAAAAAAATCACTAAAAAGACTTAACAACAATCATATTAAGTTAAAAATGTGCCCTTAAATGACCTAGTTGAGTCAAGAGGAAATGATGAGTATCAGATTATCTTGGTACACACAAGAAACGATTCTTAACACCCCAATAGGATATAAGTAACATGTTCCCTATGAAAATAAATCTGCTAAAAAGACTGTTCTAAAAGTATTACCTGATAAAGATTAAAAATACAGAATCATTAAATGTGTATGATGTGTCTTCTAGAAAAGTATTCTAAAAATAACTTCTAGTTGTAAGTTCTACATACCTGCACGTCCACTCTCTTGGTAATAATTTTCCATGGATTTGCTCATTGAATGATGAATAACAAACCTCACATCTGGTTTATCAATTCCCATTCCAAATGCAACTGTTGCCACTACTACCTAAAATGTTTTAACATGTCTATCAGTTAAGTCAAGTTTAAATATTTTAAATTAGGCTTCTATTGAAAATATAATCTTAACCTGAAGTTCATTGGCTGACCATCTTGTGTGAACCTTGGTCTTATCTTCTGGTTCCATATTGGCATGGTAAGAACCTGCATGAATTCCCAAATTCTGCAAACTAACCGTTACCTGTTCAGAGTCTTTCTGAGAAAAACAGTATATGATTCCTACAACAAAATATAAAATATGATCATGTATTAGACATACATAAATAGTACCTTCCTCAGAGACCATTTTCAAAACACACACAAGCCACTAATTAATACAATACACAGGTGGAAAAAATTCCAAGGCCCTAAGAATATATTTATTGACTTTTGTGTATAATGCAAGATTTGATCACCAGCCTTCTCTAAAGCAGAAATGAGCCCTGAGCTAGAGCTACCAGTTTTAGTTACCATTACCTGTTTTCTCTCTCCACCCGTATCTCCTACTACATAATATTTCTCACACTGATGCCCCACAGTTCCATAAAATGTTAGTAAGTATCTGGGGGTCTGGGTGTGGGGGTGGGGGATTCACATGATTTTGAGGAACAATGCATTCCACAAAGTTAAATAGGCTCTCTACCTTCAGGGCTGGTCAGAGCTTCCAGTGTGCTGACATAACCCCCTATTAACCCTCCAAGAAGGATAAATAACCACAGCCTTTCTCTAACTTACTTGACCCTGGAACTCCTTTTACCCAGGACACACATTACCATCTCCTGAAAATCTAGACAACAGTTTTAAAATGCTCCTTTTAAACAAACTCTTTGCTTCAATATCATTTGCCTAGTCATCAATTCTGGAATGCATATACACATACTCTCAATTTCATCTCTGCCTAAACTATTAAATATGTACTATTTATTTCTTTAATGTGTTCTTTAGACACATTATTTTGTAACTCTTTAGACATCAACACTTAACCCTTTATTTTGTATGTAGTACTTATTATCTAAAGTCTATGCCACTGAATTAATATTGTCATTAGGTGCATTCTAAAGCAATTAAGTATTAATAACCATAATAATTCAGGCAGTTCTGACTGATAATCTGTGACATACACAAAGGTCTTAGCATGTTTCCAGAGTCACCAAGTGAATTAATTTTATCACAACAGTTTCAAGTATCTTCTGCCACATGCTAATATATTTAGTAATTAATCAGTATAATTACCAGGATACTATTACTTTTTGAAAGTCCCCAAAGTTTTACTTGCTTTTATATTACCTGATTGTCCTTTGTATCTCCCATTGATGAGCTTTACAATATCCTCAATAAAATCTTCAGTGTTTGAAGGCTTTTGCCGAACCTAGAAAAAAATTATCTTATTAAAAAGTTAAAGAGAAGTACCATCCAAGTAGCCATTTACTCACAACTTTTGAAGTCCAATTCTTTCATGAGCATAGTAGTTTTTTTCCATTACTCTTTTACTTGTTTCATAAGCCATATGACTTATTTCTGCCACCTCCCAGACTCTCTTGATTCTTACTATTTAATTTGCTAGAGATGAGGAGACCTTTTTATTTTCTAATGCTATTTTTATGAAAACATACACCACAAATAAATAACTATTCAGTTAAAACAGAAGAAAGATTGTATCTGTTCCTAAAAGGGTTAGAAAGAAAGGAAGGACAGCAACTGGGTTATTTTATTTTCAGTATGTAGTAAATAAAATCTAAATGGGGGTACTGGCAAATCTCTAATATTTCTATTGTTTAGTAATTAATTTCCATAAAGATGTCAGGTCCATGATCTCATTTCTCTCTCCATCCTTGTACAAGAAAAAATGTAAACAACTTGAACAAATACATGACTTCTTATTTAAAAGATTATACAGCACCAGAGATATGTGAATAAGATACCAATTAATGAATCTGCTTCTAATTATCTACTGATGTTAAACCTTTTTGTATTTTTAAACTGTTGCTCATGTAAATAAAAACAGACACAATGAAAAAGCATAATTTCTCTGCTATAATTCTTCACAAAAGTAATAAATTGACAAAAGTCACATACCTCATAGTAAAGATTTGGACGATTAAAAGAAGCTGTAAAAGTAAAACACTTTTCAACACACAAAATTTTCTGAGCATCTTTCAAAACATGATTTGTTGCAGTTGCAGTCAGCCCAATTAGTGATGTATTAGGAAACTGTCGCTTCAAGATACCAAGTGCCTTATAATCTGAAAAAGATAAATAAAGTGCCCTTCTTTCTATCCTCAAAGGATTAGAGTAAATTATACCCTCAACTTTATGTAGATAATCAATGACTCATATAATTTTATTTCATAGCTATCTATAACATTAAATTTGCTATTGCCTACTATTCTTCTTTTATAGGTAGATTTTTTTACACTTTTCTTCAGAAACACTGTTGTTGGACATAGGCAGAACTCCACTGAAGAGAAAGAAACCAAACATTCCATCAACTATGCATTGATCTACAACTGCTGAACAAAAGACTCATGAGATAGTGGAAATAGCCATAGTATTTGGTTCTGTTACTATCAACAAAAGATAAAAGAAACCACTGGTCAAAACTTTTCTACCATCTACTTCATCCAAAAGTGGCAAAAAAAAAGTGGTGAAGGCACTGCTTGCAACAGAACCTATTTCAGGGAAACCATTCTGGACTCATACTTATCATACATATCTAAATCCCTACGTAAGAGATCCTTCATTTCCCTCAGTACTCAAAATATGTGGTAACTGCTAAGATAGACGGTAACTATGAACACATGGAGGAGGAAACAACTTCTTGTGATGTTGTGCAGATTTCAAGGAGATAACATTTGAGTTGGGTCATGAAGAACAGACAGAAGTTTGCTTAACAGGGAAGAACAACAGCAAGCAGAGGACACAGCACGTATAATGTAAATGCATTGGCATGAAATCACTCAGCATGTTCAGAAAACAGCAAGCATTTCAGTGGGGCTACACCACAGGGTGTTGTGCTGGATGATTTGCCCAATCCATTAGGTAGGGATTCTGTGTTCCAGAATTCCTTCTATGTAGCGTTCTAAATTAGAGCTGACCTAAAAGAGGAACTTGTGTAAGACTTGGGAAGCGAAGTGAACTAGTTGCCATTACTCTTTGAAGGTCTTTCCACGCAGAGAGGACCATGGATAGATGCAGAAGTGCCCAAAGAGCATAAATAAGACTTAAATTTCAGAATTATTCTTTAGTGGCAATGCCAAGGATAGGCTAGAGCAGAAAAGACTTAAGAGAGGGAAACCAGTTAAAAAATGACAGTAATAGGCAAGAAAACAAATAATAGAGAATATGAAATAAGCCATGACACTATAGATAAATCAGAAAGAAAAAAACATAAGGGAAATATATCAACTCAACCCTCACAGATCCTTGTGACTATTAGGACATGGAGGGGGCAGAAGTTGGGGAAGGACAGGGGATGAGTCCTGTTAATCAATTCATCAACAGATAAAAGTTGGCCAGTAAATCTCTAAGCACTAGAAATAAAGTGGTAAGCAAGACATACAGTTATAATCCAAGGGAAAAACCCACACAATATAAGGAATAAAGCACAAAATATGCTATTATCAGAGTGATATCTACCCATAGTGATAAGCCCAATAGAGTTGAAGCTGAAAGAGTGAGAGAGGAAAACTAGCAAATCAGGTAGACATATAGGAAATAAATCATATATTGCCTAACAGGCCCAAATAAAGAACTCTGAATTTTATTCTAAGTATAGAAAAGTTGCTGAGCAGTTTAGGTGCAAATTAACATGATTTGATATATATCTGGGAAAGATCAAAATTTGGTTGCTATATAGAAAACAAACTATACAAGGGTTTAGTTTAAAATCAGAGTATCTCATTGGGCTATTGGAGTACCGAGGTTGCCCCTGAGAAACTGGTGGTCTGGGTAGATTAAAGGCATCTTTAAGTGAAAACGTCTTAGGGACCCTCAAGGAACTGATGAAGTTAAGTGTGCCATCATTAATGAATGCTGTTCAAAACAACATGGCTTCCCTAGCTCTCAGCAATCTGGATGTAGCACTATTCCAGTTGACCTACCACTTAAAGATTCCCTGTACTACTGTATGTACTGTTTTAATGTGAAAGTGGATAATCAGCAAATGATAGTGGATTTCAGTGTCTATGCTGTGTGGTGGAGTCACACTTGTATAGTGGAAACCAGCCCAAGCTACAAAAGTTGTGGTGGAACAGAATCCATTATTAGGGTTTGGTGCTATAGCAATTGCTATATTGTGATTAGGATTTGCAGGAGTGTATTTTGAAAAAGTCTTGAAGACTTCAGACACTTCCCTTTGAGTGAGAAACATTCAAATGTATGTATTTATCAGGAATTGCTATGACATTACTTGGTGGCAACTTGTAAAATGCAGCTAAAATTTTTAAAAAAAGGATTTTCTTTCTATGGTTACACATATTATGTCTGGTTTGTCATCTTTCTGGCAAGTGTTGGAGGTCTCTATACTTCTGCTGTGGTCAAGTACAAAGACATCATGAAAGGCTTTTCTGCAGCAGCCTCCATTGACAATTTCTACCACTGCTTCAGTCACACCGCTTGGGTTACAGATTACCTTTGCTCTGGGTATGCTCTGAAGGGGTATACCCTTCTTGTGTGTGTTTCCATCTATCTCTATGGACTACCTAGCAAGACACGACACATCCAACAAGGAGAAACAGCTTCAAAAGACAGAATCATTGAAGTGTGATTTGAGCCTCAAGAGAGATTTATACTATGACTAAATCATTTGCATTAAACTAGAGCCTTAAGTCAATCTTGGATGGTAGCTTAAATAGAAAACAAAATGAATAATATAGCACAAGAATCAAGAAGAAAGTTATGAGTGAACTAATATAAAGACTTAATTTGGGCCTTTCTGGGGTTGAGCTGTATTGTTTTAGAATAAAGGAATTTTATTACTGTACATATAAATCGTGTATATAAAAAGTATGGAGATGGCATGGTATTAAAATCATGTGAAGCTACAATATTCAAGTAACAAGTTGTGGGACAATGTTTGACGGTTAAAGTGCCAAAGCCATTCCTATACTAATCATTCTCTTGTTGAGGTACCAGGGGAGAAGAATGGCCCTTCCTTGTTCTCCAAATCATATACCATATCATGTTCTAGCAGTAGTAAAGACCTAACTCTTTTCTTATAAAAGAGGCAGAAACCACACTGGCTGGTTCAGAAACAAACCGAATGTGTAACTTCTCAAATAGAATCTATTTCATAACTCACACAATGATTTCTGAGTGGTGACTAAGTACTCCTTAATGCTGCATTTGTGCCATCCATTGACTGGTTCATATTTCTTTGCTCTTAGATGATGTACTTTTTTTTCAAAAAAAAAAAAAAAAAAAAAAAAAGACTTTTAATATATACAGAATGGCTAAATTTTTGGGGCTCAAAAAAAAAAAAAACCTGAAAACAAAGCCTAGTTAAGAGAGTTATTACAATAAACCAGTGGAAAGAAACCTACTTGGACTTAAAAGATAACAACACAAACAAAGAGAAATAGATACATTTGAAACTCACTTTAGAGGTAGAGCTACCAGGACATGGTGGGTTAATCTGCAGAGGTAAGATAAGACAAAGATGATGTGTCACCATGAAGTTATTTTTCTCAGCTCCAACCCTAACCTTCCATACCCTTCCTTTTGATGCAGGGGTAGGAACTACACATTACATGCCAGCTTTGTCAGGTGGTCTGACAGGACAGACCACCAGCTGTTTGCTTCCTGTGGGCTTGCTCGTGTTCCCATAAATGTCACTGCAGGAGCACTGTCTGTCCTCAGAAGCAGCTGAATACAGTTGGCAGTATTTCCAACCTTTAATGAAGCATCTTTATGAATCCACTGCACTTCTGCCACTGCCAAAATTCCAGCACCAAGGAACTATTCCTCCTTAGAGGTCCAAGGGCCAATTCCACAAGGCCCCTCCTCTAAGTTTCTAAATTCTATTACTTATATTACTTTTATTCCTATTCTCTAGTCCTATGGATGGTAGTTGTTTCTTTCAGTTTTTATTTCTATGATATCAAGTTCTTTATTTTTTGAGTTATCTATTTAATCACCTTTTACATAGTTAACAATTCTTCATATAAAATTCTCTGTGTTCAAATAACAATGGTTCCTGTCTCATGGTTGGACCCTGAATGATATGCATAGTCAGCCCTCTGTATCAGTGAATTCTATATCCAAACTAACTGTAGTTCAAAAACATTTGAAAAAACGTTTGTATCTGTATTGAACAAACACAGACTTTTTTTATCATTATTCCCTGAACAATACAGTATAACAATTATTTATATAGCATTTACATGCTATTAGGTATTATAAATAGAGATGATCTAAAGTATACAGGATGATGTATATAGTTTATGTACAAAGACCATACCACTTTTTATTCAAGGGACTTGAGTATGTGTGGATTTTGAAATCTGTGAGAATCCTGAAACCTCTATAACTGCTAAAATTTTGCTTGAACTAATATGTGTTTGAATGAGTTTTTGGAAATGAAAGACTGAAAGGGAAATTATATAAGAAGAAGAGTTGGAAGGAGCAAAGGCAGCCCAGAGAGGAGAGGAGAAAAAAAATCAAAAGTTCTTGGTGAGGACATCTAGAAGAACAAATACTGATTCCCAGTTGCAAAATAGAAGGAAAATGAGCAGTTCTTTGAAGTGGAATTTAGTGTTGGTCCTCTAATTAACATTCACATTTCCAACAAACAACTAGGAATATAAATTTGAAATTTAAAAGTAAGATAATTAGATGTGGGAATAATTGATTATAGCATGGCAGCCAGTCTGTGAGACAATATTAGTCATGATAATACAAATGCAATGGTAAAAATCCTTAAGTGCTCAGACTGCTCAGGTTGAAAACATAGAACAAGAGTAATAGATCAGATACCTTCAGTGGCTGTCAGATAAGAAATGTGTGGAGTAATATGGTTAAGATAGAAGGGTTCTTAGTAAAATAAAGAGTATATATCCTGCCTATGGTATTTAAATCAATGTTTTAAAAAAAAACAATGCCCAAAATAATCCATAAACTAGACAAGTCTTCAATCCACGAGTTCACTATCCCTGGAGAAATGTAAAAAAACAGTAAAGATTCCTAGGGAACACTAATGTTTAAGGAAGGAACAAAGAAAGAACAAAAGGAATAAAAACAGGAAGAAATTCAAGGGTGTAACATTACAGAAACAAGGGAGGAGAAAGCAGCAAGGCGAGAGGTGAAGACAGTGAATAGTAGTGAACTTAAGTGGGAAGAGGAATGAAGACCAGACTGCCAGATTAAGCCACTGGAAGCAGAGTCTGCTGACCTGATTCAGTACAGTGGTGGTGGCACTGTATTCCTTTAAAAAGGAATAAAGGTGAGAAATGGAGATGGTGAGTGATGGGGAAGGAAATGCAGAAATAGAATACATAAGTGTTGATATCTTAGAAAGGTCAGCAGGGTGTTTGAGCTTCTGTTTTTGTTTTCAGGATGGGATCAGTGAGACTGCAAGTGCAGGAGTGAGGAAATTGATAGAAAACAATCTTCAGAAGGCAGGAAAGGATGAAGTGGGAGTGTCCACAGTTACTTCATAAAAGAACTCGTCTTTTTTTTTTTTTTTTTTGCCTAAAAGAGGAAAAGAAATAAATACCAATGTTTGGAAGGAGAAGAAAGAGATGTTCATATTTGACGGCACCTATTTTCTGGGAAGTAGGAGGCATCTACTGGGTATGGGTCAGGCCTAAAGGGAAAGTTAGTGATAGGAAAAACTTGCTGGATGCAATGTATAAAGGAGCTGAAATAGGGACAAGTAAAAGGATAGCTAAGCATGATAAAAGGCTGAACTGGAGTGGAAATTAATGCAGCTATTTAATTTTTTTTTTCTTCTGATAATGTTTAGCATCAAACAGCAGGAATAGGGAAAGCAGAGTCTGCCAAGCCATCTCCATCTGGCATGGGCCTGAGTAGGCTGGTAAAATGGCCAAGCAATTCAGGAAAAATACAAAAGGCAAGTGGCAACAGGAATCTGAATGGGGGAAAGTGTGATCATGCAGGGATGGATGGAAGCCATGAACAAATAAGTAGGAATTAAAAGAAACCTGGGAGGTCCCTCTGAGTATGAAAAGCCTAGAGAGATGATTTATAGATTCAATTGGTGGAGTGAAGATAAGAGTTACTAAATATATACTAAAATATCTCATCAGACTTTGGCAGTGAAAAGTTAGGTAGGATGTTAAAGACACCCAAATGATAACAAAAGAAGACAACTTTGAAGTGGATTTAAATTCCTCATCAAATGTGAGGGAGTACTAGGAGATCATAAATTCCACAGAGATATATAATATTGACTAATAAAAACATGTTTCAAAAGATAATTGGACTAAATATTGCAGTGATAAATAAGGAGATTAAAGACTCTGCCTCTTGGCCTCCTCACATTAATGCAAGGACAAATGGGTAATAACTACCCGACAGGATAATGTTAATGGAAGAAGAGATTTTCACCATGTCAAGCTAAGTTAGAATATGGTCCATAATATCAAGGGGTTTCAAGGTAAAACCTACATACCAGGTCTGAAATCATGTCCCCATTGACTACAGCAGTGAACTTCATCCACAGCGATTCGAGTAAATCTCCTTGCTTCATAGGCTTTCTCTAGTCTTGACATAAACATTTTGCTTTTTGCAATTTTCTCCGGAGTCACATAAATTAGCTTTAACTTGGAGTTTTTATTTACCATTTCAGCATGAACCCATTTCACATGCTCCTATTAAAAGGTAAAATAACCACAATTATAGTAGAATTAAGTTAACAGACTGCAATACCAACTGGAAAATTAAGACATTCATCACTCAAAAGCAACAGCCTGGGGCTTTTCTAGGAGCAGATGTTTGGTTCATTAAAATTGAAACCACATCACTATACTAAATCATGGCAGCTGTGCAAACAGCATTTTAGTGATTTACTTACATCCACATTGTTGATGGTAAAAGAATAACCTCACTTGGCCAAAAAAAAAAAAAGAATGAAAATACATGAAAAGATTCTGCAATAAAGAACATTTATTCTATAATCCAAGTTACTCCAGAGGTTGAGGCAGGAGGATCACAAGCTTGGTGCCACCCTGGGTGATTTAGCAAGATCCTGTCTCAAAATAAAAAGGGCTGGCTGGGTATACAGCTCAGTGATATAGTGCTTACCTAGCATAAATTGAGGCCCTGGGTTTAATACCCAGTATTTGGGGAATAGAGGGTGGGCCAGCATTTATTATATGAAGGTATAATTCTAAATTGTTCATAATATATCCTGAAATGTGAGTCAAATGCCACAGCTGCAATTAAAACATGGGTTTTGTTAATCTTAACATCATATTAATAATCACTTTATATATCTGTGAACAAAGTTTATTGATTAACTATTCTGGGGATGCTATTAAACCTTTGAGCTCTTTATTTAAACATATAGACCGCTAGGTTTTACACAGTATTAATCATTAAATTATTGTTTTCTAAAATAAAATTATAAATAATAAAACAAAATTAAAAGGTAACAGTTATTAGTACCTTAGTGTTGATATTATTTTACACACTATTTAGCACTTTAGAGTTTATTTTTTCCTTCTAACCTAATGAGAACCAATAAAATAATTATTAAAAGATGATGGCAAATGGGAAAGGAAGAGACAGTCAAAACTGCTTTCATTGTCCGAGCAAAGAAGCAGTTTGTTAAATCCTGCAGTTATTCTAGGATGTGTCCTCTTTTTTTTTTAATTACTCCAACTTTTCAAGCAATATCGATATGGCATGACTTTATAATTTTCTGCAACTTTCTAAGCTACTTTCTATTACTAATACTTTTTTTTTCAGTTTAAAGGAAGTATAATATTAAAGACAATTTCACCCAGATTCATTCTGCTGAAAGAGAAAACAGAATAAGAGCTTAAATAGAGCAAAAAATGGAAAAACTAAGGGAACACAGTTTTTGGAGATACTGATGATTACAGGTCTGGGCAGGAAACAAACAAAATGAAAATGAATTATCTTACTGTGAAAGAAATCAAGGATTTCATGGGGTCAAATAAAAAGATCCAGGAGCCATCTTAAATGGCTCTCACTGGCCAAAGACAAGACTACTTCAGCGTAAAGAGATAATAGGCCAGGTGTGCTGATGCACGCCTGTAAATCCTGTGGCCCAGGAGGCTGAGGCAGGAGGATCAAGAGTTCAAAGCCAGCCTCAGCAACTTAGAAAAGCCCTAAGAAACTCAGTGAGACCCTGTCTCTGAATTAAATACAAAAAAGGCTGGGAATGTGTCTCAGTGGTTAAGTGTAATCCTTGGTACCAAAAAAAAAGATAATAACTATGGATTGAAATACATTAAATACATAAAAAATTCATAATATACTTGGGGAGGAAAAATGAAAAAAAAACTTGTTAATAAGCTGTGGAGCATGCTAGAAAATAAAAATCTTAACTGCAAAGTGGCAAAGAAAGGAAAAGAATCAAGCATTTTAATGTGCAAAGAGTTAATGAGTAAAAAGTTCTTGTTTATACAAAAATTCCAGTTAATGTATGAACAAGAAATGGTAAAATTAAAATATCACCATTGTGTCACTCCTTAATGAAATAAGCACTCTCGCCTTGCTGCTTTTGGTTCCTTGGGTAAATTATTTAGGTAGTTGAAAAATCAGGTTAATTTGCCATCATCAGTGGCTGCCAAAATCATTAGATGAAAGCTAAAAATGACAGATCAGGAAGATATACCTGAACCTACTGATCAAGCTTAGCATCCCTAAAGATAACCAGGTATTATGGGTACCTCCTGAGTGATACTACAGGCAGGCATATGCTTCCAAAAACAAGTTCAAATATAATCAAGCTAATCATGCTTTTAGATCTAACTAAAAGAAACAAGTTAAACAACATCACAAGAATGCAATCAGGAAAATCCAGAATGTAGAAAACTACAGGCAAATTAACCTGATTTTTCAACTACCTAAATAATTTACCCAAGGAACCAAAAAAGAGATAAGGTAAATCTTATATGTCAACCAAATATAATACAATACAATACAAGAATGTTATCTGGGCCATAACTTTTTTAAAAAAATGAAATATAATGAGACAATTGACTATTTTTAGTTGATGATTTTTAAGGAACTGATAGCATTTTTCCCCACTTGGGGAAAGCAAGAACACAGTCTTCCACTAGCACAAATTATGCAGTCATGTTTCCCACATTTGGGGAAATCACAGGAGTCGGCACATCCAGAGTACAATGGATAGGCCTCAACCTGGGAAAATCACCTTAATGACCAGGCTATCTCCCCTGCCAGGTAAATATCCTCAGGCCTTTTTATTTTAAGACAGAGTCTCTCTAAATTGATTAGGACCTGGCAAAGTTGCTGAGGCTGGCTTTGAACTTGCAACCCTCCTGCCTCAGCCTTCCCAGCCACTGGGATTATAGGCATCACCAAGCCCAGCTCAGATTTTTTAGATATGAAGGTAGCATTGCACTTACACATCTTTTTGAAGTTAGAGATACATATTGAAGATTTTACATTAAAATATGAGGCCTGGTAGGAATGGAACCACCATATAACCCAGCTATACCATACTCCTCAGTATTTTTCCAAAAGAATTAAAGTCATCATACTTTAATATATGATTCATGCATACCCACATTTATAGGCAGCACAATTCACAATAGCCAAACTATGGAATAAGCCTAGGTGTTCAGCAACTGAAGAATGAATACAGAAAATATATACATACATAAAGACAAATTATGGCATTTTCAGGAAAACTAATAGAACTAGAGATCATTGTTAAGTGAAACAAGTCAAACTCAGAAGGTTAAGGGTCATATGTTTGCTCTCATATGTGGAAGCTAGAGAGGAAAAAGGGGGGAAAAAGATGAGAGTAAATCTCATGAAAAATCAAAGGGAGATCAGTACAGGAAAGACACAAGGGTGGAAGGTAGGGAGAGAGAGAGAGAGGGAGGGGGAAGTGCTAAAGGAGTGATATTTGCCAAATTATATTGTTATATTGAGTGCTGTATGCAAATACAAATAAATATGTAAAAACAAATCCCATCAATATGTACAACTATAATGCACCAATTTTAAAAAATGTGGGAAAAAAATAATATAAGGCCTAGGATTTGTTTCAGATAAATAAACTAAGGGAAATAGCATAGGGAAAACTGGGGAGATACCCATAAAAGCAGATTGGACATACATTGATAAATATTAATGGTAATAATGGATACATGGCCATTTTTATACTATTACCCTATTTTGGTATAGTTTTGAAGATATCAATAATATGCTTTTAAAAGAATAACAGGGAACTGGAATCTAACACTTCCATGCCTTAGGCACATAATAAAAAATTATTCCTGTATTTAAAAAAATAATGTTGGGAAACACTCTCTTCTACAGATGAGGATACATTCCCAAACCAAAAAAATTCCATAGGTAGTCCATGTCTTTTTAGTAACTTATTTTTTTGTATTTAACTGATTATATAATTAAACATTTTTCCTATTTTAAAATAAACATGTCAGTAAATGTTTCCTATAAAGTACCAGATAGTAAATATTATATTTTAAGGGCTATATGGTCTCTACTAGTATTCAACTCTGCCATTATAGTGTGAAAGCATCCATACATAATATGAAAATGGTTGTGCTCCAATAAAACTTTATTATGAATGCTGAAATGTGAATTTTAAATATTTTTTATAATTCACATTTCACAAAATATTGTTCTTTTTTGATGTTGTTTTTAACCATTTAAAAATATAAAAACATGCAAGGCCCTAGCTTCCATCCCCAGTACTGGGGGGAAAAAATGTATGTATATATCATTCTTAGCTCATCGGACATACAAAGATAGGCTGTGGGCCAGAACTGACCCATGAGATGTTCTTTGTATCTCCTGATTTAAACAGTTAACATTTTACAATTTTATAGGCAATTCAACTATAGCCAAGACTCCTACTTCACTGAAGAATTAAAAAAAAAAAAAAAAAAAACCACAGAATTCATACCTTAGAACTAGAAGCATTTAACATGGTAGCAGAAATTCCTAAATGTTTTAAAACCATTAATTGGTCTTCCATAAGAGAGATCAATGGGCAAATCACAAGTGTAAATCCTAAAAGAGGAAGGAGGGACAAAAAAAAAAAAAACTTTAAATTTTACACCATCACCAAAATGACCTGTAACCATTCACTTTCTTTTCTTTACTATAACTTGTGGGCCTACCCATCCTCTGAATAGAGGATCTTCGATGCAGTTTTATCAATATACTGCCTATTTCTTACCCAAAAATAGATATGAGTAAATGACCAAACAAGGTGAGGATAAGGCAAATAAGCAAATATAAGACAGAAACTTCTACACTTATTCAGTCCTACAAAAATAGATTTTAACATTTTGAATGTTTAATTTACTTTCATTTTAAACAGTTTTAGTAAACTCAATAATATAATATGAATCAGGTCAAATTCTAAACAGTTATATTAGGGAAAAATTATTCCACAGCATTCCAAATGAAAACAGCAATCTACATAATTAAGAAGGAGATTTGCGTGAGTATTCTACTTTTTGCTCCAGATTAATTTATTCTGAGTAGGAATCAGTGAATAGAGTATTGACTGAACGAAGTTCTAATAATACCCTCCCTCTCGCCTATAAATGAAATTGTTTACAAGAGCAATTCTACATTTTGTTGAAATTATATGACTTAATATTTCTGCAACTTATTTGCTATAATAACCTCTGGCAGAGTGTACATACATTTAAAAATACAAACTTAAATTATAAAGTTTATCAGGGATTTTGCTTTCTCAATTATTTTCTATACTTCTCCCTCATTACTGGCATCTATTCATTGCATTTAACCATGGTCAAGTCTCTCTCATTTTCCCAAAAGCAAGACACCTGCTAGGGTCTGAATGTTGGTGTCCTCCCAACATTCTTATGTCAGAACCTAACACCCAGTATGACAGTAATAAAAGGCAATGTCTTTTCGAAGTCATTAAATAATGAAGGCACAATGGGATTAGTGTCATTATAGAAGAGGATAAAGGACATGTCTCTGCCCCTTTCTGTCATGTGAAAATGCAGCAAGGAAGGTGCCATCTGTGAGGAACAGGCACTCACTTGACACCAAATCTGCTGGTACCTTAATCTTAGACTCCCCAGTCTCCAGAACATATTATTTGTAAGTTATCCTTTCTCTTCTTTATTTAATAGACATTCTTTTCCAAAAGGTATTCCACACTCACCAGTCCTACCTCCACAACTCCTACTTATTTCCAAGCCATTGTTTTTTTGTTTCCACTGAACCTTCTGACTGAAATTGCTCTAGCTAAGGTAAAAAATGAGTCCCTTGTCACTATATCAAGAGGAATTTTTAAGTCCTTATTTTATTTGACCAATAGACATCACTATTGCCGACAGACATCGCTAATGACTCTCCCTCTTTCTAACACTCCCTTCCCAAGGCTTCTAATGATACTACACTCTCTGGATTATCCTCCTACGCTTTGTTCATCCTTCTCAGCCGTTCCCCGCAACCCTCTTCTTCTCCATTAACCCCTCAACTCTTAGCACTCAGATGTCTGTTCCAAGGCCCTCTTCTCATGTTGCCCTGAATTACTCCTGTGGCTCCAATGGCCATCTCTACATTAACAGCCTCCAACTAATCTAACTCAGATCTCCCACTCAAGCTTTAGACCCAAAATCCTACCACACAGGTATCTTAAAGGTATCTTAAATTCAACATGTCCCAAATTGAATTCATTATATTTTCTCTCCATTTCTAATAAGTTATTTCTCTAGTATAACCTATTTCAGTGAACAATCTCTACTAATAAAAAGAAAAACAAAATAAAACAAAAACACTTGGTTTTTACATGTGTTTGATCAGAAATTAATGTTTTAAAGAATTAAAATACACTCAGAGAAACAATTTCAACTTAAAATTCATTCTTATTAACACGTACCCTCTGAACATAATGCTGGTAACTGGTAGCATAAACTTTTCCCTCCTCCTGTAGGCATAACAAGAAATACCTCCTTTCCAGCCATTGTTACATTAATAGTTTCAAGTTGAAGTGGTCTGAACTTCTGTAGTTTAAAGACATTTTGCAGAGCATCTTTGACTTTACCAGACCATGGAAAATCTAGAAAGAGAAAAATAAGCTAAAATACTAGAACTATTAGGTTTATAAATGAGACAAAAATGTAAATGGCTGCTTTTATATAAGAATCAGATAAATATACATAAGACTTTTAATACTTATGAACCATTAAACTTTTATAATAACAATTTTGGAATTACTATAACTCAGTAATCTAAGCAAAGCAAAAACAAATTAAATAAGAAGCAGTACATCAGAAAAAAAAACATAAACATGTACCAAGTGAGAATAAAACCACATAGAACGGGAAGTCTTCAACCAGGTATTTAAAAAAATCTTCTGAATGTTGCTCAAGAAATTTACAGCATAAAAACTCAAATACAGTGAACAAACTTAACAATTATCTGGAAAATTATCTGAAGTTTTTGGTGTAAATATCTTGTGTTTAGAAGTCAATCAGTAGAAAACAATCTCTACAAAAGTGCTGCAATTCCTTCTAGAGTTATTCTACTATAAGTAACAATAAACATGATGCTTCATTCAAGATTTTGAATCAATGGTTTCTTCACCATAGCAGGAAGAAAGACTAAACTTTGGCAAGTGGTATGAGTAAATATTTATTTATTTTCTCTCTCTCTCCTTCTCTCTCCCTTTTAGTTAAAACTTAGAAAATTTGGCTGCAGGGGTACAGGTCTATAATCCCAACTACTCCAGAAGTTGAAGCAGGAGGATACCAAGTTTGAGACCAGCCTGGGCAACTTAACAAGACCCTGTATAAAAATAAGAAAAGAAAAAAAAAAAAAACAGGAGATGTAGCTCAGTAGGAAAACATCCTAACCAATGCCCAGAACCTCCAAAAAAAAAAAAAAATACTAGAAAATTTAGTTGAAGTAAATATCTATTTTTCAAGCACTGGACAATGTTACTTACATGCACCTCAATTTCCATATGTGAAAAAAAACTGATAAAGTCAGAATAATAAGAGTTTAATTTAGAAAGATTAAGAACATGGGTTAGAATGGTTCCTTTTCACCAAATGAAGAGCTAGTCTCACCTCTCAAACTACTACTGGAAAGCACTGACCCACACGGAATGACTTAATTCTACAGAAATGAGAAAAAACAATACTAGCAAAGAAAAAGTAGACCTTCTTTATTCCAAGCGGCAGGTGAAGAATCACACTCGTTGCTTGTCCCAGCATCAGAATCCTCTAAACACTGATTTATTTTCTTTGTTAGGACAGATTTTTTCTGAAGGAGCTCTTGTTGCCTTTCCATGAGTTCTTGAATTTGAATGTCTACTGCATGTAGCTCACTGGTTACAGAATCCAATTCCTCGGTTAGTGCTATGAGGAAGGGAGGAGAAACAATGACCAGACAGTTAATTTCAATTTCCCTTTCCTATTGGCTTCTGGATGTTCCTCATCATCTATATTATGGACAAACTTAAACCAGTATAGCAGAGCAGTCAAGATGACATGTTTCAAAGTCAGAGAGACCTGGGTTCAAAGTCAGGTCTTCATCTTACCTGAGTAATCTTGGACAAGATACTTACGTGCACCTCAATTTCCTCTTCTATAAAATGTGGGCCATACCTAACTTTCACAGTATTGTTAAAAAGAATTAAGAGAAATTTGAAATTTGAAATATTGAAATTTCTTAACACAGTACCTAAATATTGTTAAATATTTAACAATTGATAGTTACTGTCGTTATTATTACTGTACAGAGAAGGTAGTCCAAAAATCTCCTAAATCATCTAAAGAAAGTGACTAGCTGGGCACAGTGGTGCAGTGATGCACATCTATAATCCCAGCTACTCAGGAGGCTGAAGATTAAAAGTTTGAGGCTAGGATAAGCAACTTCATAAGCCCCTGTCTCAAAACAATAAATACAAAGGACTGGGGATGTAACTCAATGGTAAAGCAGGAAAGCACCTCTGAGATCAATCCCCTGTACCAAAAAAAAAGAAGAAGAAGAAGAAAAGAAAGTGACCAGATAATGTTCACATTTTGGCTGATATGATGAAAAGATAAGGAGTTATTAATTATAAATGAGATGCAAGCAACAAAAATAAAAATCAGTGGTACTATTGTAAGGCTGAGGTTGTGGCTCAGTGGTAGAATGCTTGCCTAGCATGTGTGAGGCACTGGGGTGAATTCTTAGCAACACATATAAATTAAATAATAAAGGTCCATCAACAACTAAAAAAAAAATACTATTGGGATTGGCATTACAATTCCATTGTAACTAATTTATAATTACATATTATGGTTTTAGTCAATGTGTGATTTTTTACCAGTCCAAGTATTAAGGTCAAAGTCAGATTCTTTTTGAAACCTCCCAACAGAAGCCAGACACATTTTAAAGATTGTTTTCCAAAATATCTGCCTGAAGGGTTTTAATGCCTCCTTGTAAGATGAAATCAGAGAGTTCTGACTGAAAATAGGATATTAGGGTAGGAACTGCAAGAACTCCCTTCCCTGCATGATTTGTGCGTTAGGTCTAGCCACAAGTGAACTCTGCAGATCTGAAAGGTGGAAGTCAAACAGCAGGCAAGTCTACACTAGGATGACTGGCACACAGTCAGGAGCTACTGCAGCTCATTCTTGTCAGGGATCTGCTTGCTGGCTTACCTTGTTGCCATGCGGCAGAAGCCAGTTCCTCCAGCTCTTGCTAAATCTCCCTGTTGCAGCAAGTTGGCCTGCAGCTTCTTTGGCTTCTCTGAATGTTTGGTTATGTTTGCAACTTTCTGTGGCAAAGTGCACTCTTCAGCAGGATACCTGCTCCCTGTAAGTCAGAACCCTGGGAGTGATGACACACTGACACAAGTCCCAATGAGAGACAAATGGGCTCCCCACTGTCCTCATGAGTTTCTGCTCATCCTTACTGTCCCATATTTCACACCCATCTTCCTTCTTTACTGCCGGCACTGCTGACCAGGGACAGGGGCTTAACCAGCTTCCCTGTCAGGACTAAAGCCTCTAATAAAGTTCATCACTACTCATAATGGGTCAGATTATCTGACTGAACCCTAACTAATATAGAATTTGGATCCAGAGGGATAGAAACTTAATGGATTCTCTAGCCCCACAGTCCATAAGTGAGAGCTATTATGGGTAGGAAAGGTCAAGAGGAAGCCAGCAAAACTGCCTTTAGTCAAAGTAGCAGGTTACAAAATCAACATACAAGAATCTTTTACACCAACAAGGAATCTGCTGAGAAAGAAATCAGGAAAATAATTCCATTCACAATAGCCTCAAATAAATAAATAAGCTCTAACCCAGGACATGAATGACTGTGACAATGAAAACCATAGAACACCAAAGAAAGAAATTGAAGATCTCAGAAGATGTCCTTGGATATAGTTAAAATGGCCATACTGCCAAAAGCAATATATAGATTCAATGCAATTCCCATCAAAATACCAAAGGCATTCTTCAGAGAACTAGAAAAAAAGAGTCCTAAAATTCATTTGGAAGAATAAAAGAACCAGAATAGCTAAAGCAATTCTAAGCCAAAAAAGCAATGCTAGAGGCATCCCAATACATGACTTCAAATTATACTATAGAGCTATAGTAACAAAAAATGCATGGTACTGTCATAAAAACAGACATACAGACCAACTGTACAAAATAGAAGACACAGAGACAAACCCAAACACCTATAGTCATCTTAATTTTGATAAAGGTGTCAAAAAATATATATTGGAGGAAAGACAGCTTTTTAACAAATGGTGCAGGGAAAACTGGTTATCCATATGTAGAAGAATGAAATTAGACCCTTATCTCATACCCTGCAAAATATCAACTCAAAATGGATTAAAGACATAGGAACTATACGACTCTTAGAAGAAAACATAGGGTCAACACTCCAGCATATAGGCACAGGCAGTGACTTTCTCAATACAACCCCTAAAGCTCAGGAAATAAAGCCAAGAGTTAATATATGGGATAACTTCAAATTAAAAAGCTTCTGCACAGCAAAGGAAACAATTAGAAATGTGAATAAACAACCTACAGAATTGGGGAAAAAAAAAAAAGACTTTTCTAGCTATTGTCCTGAAAGAGGATTAATACCTTAATACCTAGAATATGTGTAAAAAAAAAAAAAATTAAAACCCTTAACACCAAAAATCAAATAGCCCAGTTAATAAATGGGCAAATGAATTAAGAAGATACTTATCAAAAGAAATACAAATGGCCAAAAAATACATGAAAAAATGTTCAACATCATTAGCAATTAGGAAAATAAAAATCAAAACCACACCAAGATTTCATCTCACACCTAGTCAGTCTCTACCCTAATACTGGAGAAGATGTAGAGAAAAAGGAACACTCTAACACTGTTGATGGGATTGTAAGTTAGTACAACCACTACGGAAATCAGTATGGTAGTTCCTCAAAAGACTTGGCATGGAACTACCATGTGACCCCGCTATACCAGTCCTCAGTATTTATCCTGAAGAATTAAAGTTATCATGCTATAGTGATACATGCATACCCATGTTTACAGCAGCACAATTCACAATAGCCAACCTATGGAACAAGGCTAGGTGCCCCCTCAATGGATGAAAGGATAAAGAAAATGTGATACACACACACACACACACACACACACACACACACACACCAATAATGGAGTTTCATTCAGCCATAAAGCAAAATGAAATGTGCAAGAAAAATGGATGGAACAGGAGATCATTATGTTAAGAAAAATAATCAAAACTCAGAAGGTCAAGGATCACATGTTTTCTCTCATATGTGGAAGCTAGGGGCAGGGGAAAGGAAAGGGAAAGGAAAGGAAAGGTGAGGATGGTGAGGAGCTCATGAAAATGAAAGGGAGAGGAAAGGGACCAGAGGGGGGAAGTGTTGGGGAGTGATATTGGTCAAATTATATTGCTATATTATGTATATGTATAAATATGTAACAACAAATTCTACTATTATCTATAACTATAATGCACCAATATTTAAAAAATGTAGAAAGAGGAAAAAAACTGTCTTTACCTAACTATATAGTAAACCAAAAGCTTTACTGCATACCTATAGGGTCTGCAAAAATTGTTGCCTACATGGGCTAGGGTAATGATTCCTACCACATCCCTAATCAACTTACCTACGTGGCCTGTGCAGAAGACAAGTGAATCCCAGAAACTAACAATACTTAACG